TCATTTATTATATCACACTTCATATAGAATACAGTGAACCCTTCCTCTGGTGAAGCAGCCTGAGCTCCAAGTGGATTCAAGTTTACATTCCACACAAAGGAACATTTATTACAGGGCTTAAATGTCATAAGATTATATATATATATATATAAAGAATATCCAGTAAATACTGAGCAACACAGCTGTGTGAGTGCTTTGTAGAAACTTTGTTCTAGCAAAAGTAGTGCAGGTTTTATTTATCCATGTCAAATTGGCACATCATGTCTTGGATACTCCAGCTTTTCCTTACAGATTTGTCAGCTTGGTTGCAATCTAACTGGCTGTGTCTGTGAATAACTTACAATCTCTGCAAATAGTCAGTCCTTAGATTTTTAAACTGATACTGGTTTGGCCTTTTTTGGGGGGGGGGGGGGATCTGATTTAAGGGCCATGTTGTACATATGTTTTTTTTTTTTTCCAGATAAGAATGATCGCGATTTGGAAATCCACTATTTATCATATCCCAGAATCAGATCCATTTTACTTCTGTCTGGGTTTTTAAAGAAAAACTGGATAGGATCGTGGTACAGACTTTTAGAGATGAACAAATTCAGATAACCAGTGCTCTAAATGGGACAACATGTTACATAGTTTGTCCACAAAAAATAAAACATTCTATGCATAATAGTACCAACAATTTGGTCAACTATTTTATGAATAAAGAATTAACTGTTGTTTACATTCCTGTGTCTACCTTATTCATTAGCTTGTCACTATTAGTGATTCAGCTATTCAAGAGCTAAATATTGAAAAATGTCTAAAATATCAGAATTGTAAAAGTGCTGTATTTTTAACTGTATGTCTCCCTTTAATCCAGCCCTGGGTCCACCCCTCAGCTGAGATAAAATAATACAGATTTTTATTTATCCAAATCCTAATCAAAAGTTTTGAACAACATGTTCTGAAGGTTTTCTCTATAAAAAAGCACAATTAGATGACCTAAACTGATTTTTGTAAGCCTTGTTTTGTAGTATCTTTATTTATCTTTTCTGATATATAGAATAGATCAACTATTCTGAAAGTATCAGAAGGAAGGTACATGTGATAAATCACATCTCCATCAGGTAAGAGTTGCCAGCCCTATATGCACTATGGTATTAGGCAGGTCTGGGTAACAAATACACAAGAAGCTAAATCCTGAGGTATGAATCAAAATGAAAGAGATAACAGTAAATCAATGAAGCCCCATCTTCGACACAGATGGGGCAGCATCTTCAAATGGATGGACAATTGGAACCACAGCATCAGAGACACAATAGGGCAGATGTGAGGCTGTAGAGCTTTGTGCCAGAGAGGGGCAGTTAAGAATAAATCAATGATAAGCCTATTAACCTCTGTGTCAGCTGTTCTGTGTGACATATGAAAGAGATTTAAGAAGAGACGCTGATAAGGAAGGTGAAAAGAAGAAGAAAGTGAGGCAGTCAAGAGGCTAGAGAGAAAACGCCAATAAGAAAAGTCAACAAGTCGAATAAATGCAAAGACTGCTACGCTTTTTTTCTTTTGTAATTATTTTAGACCAGAAAGGGGAAGCTGAGGATAAGTGCCCCGGATGCTGCAGTGAAAAGCCAGTGTGCAACTTGTCATTTTCTGCTTTCTTATTTTCAGGCCAAATGTTATATTCCCTTTTTTGGCAATATTTTAACAGAAAACTGCACGCGCACACACACACGCACACACACACACACACACGCACACACACACACACACACACACACACACACAGTTTTTGCAGGGTATCTCACACTGCAGTTTAAACTCTCCTGCTCCATCTACTGACTGAATGCTGTACAAGCAGGCTTTGCTTGTAAAGCTTTGCTTTATTTTTTGTATTCATGTTTAATTCAGATGATTAATCAATGACTCCCTTATCACACTTCAAACTTCTAAAAGATTCATCACAAAAATATATTCAATATATTTTTTATTAATTGAAATTGTTCATAACCCTCTTCACAACATATGTGGATATGTTCAAGTACTCCAGCAATTATACATCAATGAGAAACTGGCCATGCACACATACACCATACAGCTGAATGTTTTCTGTAAATGTGAAACATCTGTGACAAAACATCAGCACCTTCCTTAAAAAGTAACACAAATGTGTTTTCCTATAATAACTATATATATGACACTAATCTGTTCTGCCATTGAAACTATACGAGGATTTAAGAATATCACACAACAAAATGTCCTTTAAATTAAAAGATGAATTCTGCTATAGGTTAAAAAATGTCACTAGAGGTCACTAAAGCTCTCAGAACACAACAGACTTTCATTGTCTGTTTAGTTCAAAACCTATTCTTCCCCTGCGGGTTGTCCCCTGAACAGTTATATTATAGTTCACAGCTCATTGTGGCGCCCAACGCTGGCGCCAAAAAAAAGTAATTACTACTGGAGCTATTTGAACATGTTGTCTATTTCTTTATCATGTCTGTCAGTTTTCTTTTGTGAATTTTAAATCACGCTGGTTTTTAGGATTCTGTGATATTTCTCATTTATCTCTGTATAAATATTTCCTTGGTCCCATCCATATTCCAAACTCAAATCCTCAGTTGACACAAAGTTACTCCTGAGGAATCAAAAACCTCCTGATATTCAAGAGGACATTTAATCATTTTCGTCATACAGACAGTAGAGACAGAATATGCACCAACATTTCAAGTGGTCTTATCAGAAACTTCTTACATCACATGACGTCATCGGGACAATCAGAAAAGTGTTTGGAAGCAGGCTCTCTCTCCTCTATAAACATGTCTGCTTCGACTTCCCAGCAATGGGAAATACTTGTAATTCCAGACAGCTTTGTTGTAAAATTACCCTTGCTATCCCGTTGCGTTCAGTGTGTGTGTGTGTGCGTGTGTGTGTGTGTGTGTGTGTGTGTGTGTGTGTGTGTGTGTCCATGACCACATGAGTGGCTGTGTTTGTGAATGTGTGTGTCAGAGCCAGTGTGTCATATTACAATCAAGTCTCTTTAGGACAGTCCTAAAGATAGTGACCAGGCAGGAGTGTGTTCTTGCGGTGTAATGTTGCAACACTCGGCTGTAGAAAGAGAGCAAGTAGACCTGCTCTGACAGGGAAAACATTGTTGTTGGATTTATATGGATTTTTAAGGATTACATTAATTATAAAAATTGATAAATGAATGTCTCCATCCCTCTGTGTCCTCCCTCTGCGGGTGTCAAAAGTAAAACTATTGATAGTCAAATTATAAAGCAAAAACATATGAAAGAACAGGAGATTAAGTTGCACAACTTGACTTTTAAAGCATGAAAATGGATTTTCTAACGGTCAACTTCACTGCTGAAGAAGAGGACTCAATACACTTTTCAACTTTGGAGGCCATGCAAACAAAAAGGACGCTATGATATGCTTCGAATGCTATTTAGTTGTAGAGCTTGTCCAAGGTGCCCAGAAGCCCTATAGTTTGGTGTCCAAGTGAGTGATTTTACATTTTGTTATGGCGTTATGAAAGAACAAGACACACAAGTCAACAATCAGCAGGAGCTTCACACACACACACACTTAGACATGAACACACATTCAGAGTTGCACAATTTAAATTGAAAAAAAAAAAAATGACAGTCATGTGGTAATAGTCAGGTCAATGTCTACTAGCCCCTGATGAAGTTATCAGTAAAACCATGCAGAAGGAAAGGTTTTGCAACCAGCAAAAGATTTATTGCCAAACCTAATGCATACTCTGCAGAAAGCAGACTACTCACTGTCATAGTCCTTCTCAGTCACAGTTTAGTCAAGCGATTAGTCAACATCAGGCATAAAGCGTCATCACACTGCTGTAAAGTCAAGTATTAATCGAAAAGTCAGTGCAACCCCTAACCCCTAATTACATTTAAGACGGCTTCACTAGCAAGGACCATGCCGTAACAATATGCATTGCATCATTTAATGTGGATTCATACAGTATATTGGGACATATAGGTGAGAGGTGGTCGTCGTCCTTAAGGCTGGTCTGGGGGGGGGTCGAACAAAAGATCAGGCAGAGGGAGACTCAGAGTGAGGGTTATTCTACCCGAGCTGATAACGAGTGTAGAGTAAGAGAGAACTGAGCGAAAACAGAATGGAGAGGAGGGGTAAACCCGGTAAGAGTAGGCTTGTCAAGTGATTGAAGTTTAGGCCTGCTCCTGCTCCCAAACCAAAGTTTATACATGAACTTCCCAAGTTACAGGGTATAATTATTCAGCCTTGTACTGGCAATATAAAACGGGTTATAGAGACACCCACTGACTGCCAAAGCTTTTCAATATTGTAGCCTATACAACTTTTTAATAGAAAAGAATAGGAGTACTTTCACTCTGTGTTGTGAAATCCGATCTACATGCAACTAGTTTTGTGTGTGCAAACCTGCAAATGTGTGTGCAAATCTGCAAATGTGTGTGCAAGCCTGCAAATGTGTGTGCAAACCTGCAAATGTGTGTGCAAACCTGCAAATGTGTGTGCAAATCTGTTGAAAGCATATCACACCGAATAGAATACATAGATAGGCATGGATTTTAATGAGGGACGCACACAATAGCAGAAGGAGGACCTCTCTGACATTCAGGAGTATAACAAAAAGTAATTTGATGTGTCTTCTTCAGGGCAGCAATCCGAACACACAACAGCACACGTGTCAAAATGATAAACATCTTAAGTCAATCATTTACTGCCCAAAAGAAAACAGCCAGTGCACTCCTCCTTTGTTCTTCCTCCCCCCCTCCCCCCTTTTCCTCACTCCTCTCTAGGTCACCTTGTAACGATGTCTTTCTTCCTCTTCTTCGCCTTCTCCCCCAGAGACGAAGAAGAGGATGGTGCCCGCTGAGCCTTGCTGATGCTGAGAAGAAGAAGAAGAAGAAGAAGAAGAAGAAGAGGAGAGGGAGGAAGGGAAGGAGGAAAGGAAAGACGGGAGGAGGCGAGGTGAAAGGGAGGCAGGAAGGAGAGGGGAAAGGGAGGGGGGAGGAGAGGAAAACGAGAGAGAGGGGCTAGTGGATGTAGCTCTAGCTGTGGGCCGGGGGGGGAGAGCTACCTAGCCCGGGCTGCTCTGCCGAAACATCCATGGGTGGCTGTGTCGGGAGCCACCACGACTCCTCGGGCAGCTTAAACGAGAACTCGGACGGCACTGGAGGTAACCTATCGCCGTCTTTTAGTGCTTACACTTATATTATTTTGAGGGGGGAGATGGGGGGGGGGGTCCTCTAGGCTTTTTGCACGTAGTCCCGGCTGGAGGTCCCTTCCTTTTTTATATCCGAGCCAGGCAGACACGCAGACAGACACGGCAGCCCTCCCGGGTTATCTCCCTCCACACAGCGGGCCTTGTAGCGATAAATGACGACCCCTTAGTACTTCACCAAGTGGGAAATATTCACAGTGCGTCGCTTCCTCCCTTTGTTCTTTGGTGTTGCCTGAGCTGGCCGGCTAGCGGAATTAGCTTGCTAGCTTCTCCGCATAACAAATATGGGTCACAGGCGGCAATGGCAAGGCACCAGAGTGATGCGGTCTGATTTAAATTACGCCTGCTTTAAGTTATCTTATTGCTCAGTGCGTTTTATGAGTGTTGCCCGGCGATTGTTTTTATTGACTGTGTTGTGTAAGCGAGGTGTTTACGGCCGCAAAAGTGTTGTGGAGAAACTGGAGGAGGTGTCAAAACTTATGGGGTGCCTCGGCTTTCTGAATTATGTGTTCAGTGTAATGTAAGTGTTTATTACGGTCTTGATGTAGAGAAGGGCCCGAGAGCAGGGGACACCATTCTGTCAGCAGTCTGACATGCACAAAGTAGAATTAAGCATGACAATAGACAGGGTATCGTTTTAATTTAGACGAACTGAACATAATCAGATCAGAAGGTGAGCTCATGGGACATTTCCAGACGCATCTTCACCTTTTTCTTTAAATGAAATACAACAGAAAAGTTTTTTTTTTGTTTTGTTTTGTTTTTTTTACAAATGCTGAACAGTCAATGGAAGTATTTTCAAAATCATATATTAGTAGGCTCATTACAAGATCTCAAAAGCAAAAACTGCAATTTGTGGAAAAAGGTCAAACAGTGGAGCAGCCCTTTGTCTAAAAATCTTAATCTGCAAATTAAAGTAACATGCTTGTCTGTAGCCCGTAGGAGTCAAAACATTCATAAGTCAATCAGTTACGGTGAATAAAATGTGACCCTGAAATTATCATGATCATATCCCAACCAACAAAAGCACCGTCCTAAATCATCACGTTTTTAATGACGCTAACAAACTGTTATGATTTTTTTTTTAAAAGTACGATAACTTGGTAAAATGTTTAAAGCCACCAGGAAAGGCATGTGGCTCAAAGTTAGAGCAGGTTGTTTACCAGTCCACAAACCTGTGGTTAAATCCCTGCGGCTCCTGCTGTCCCTATGTCCAGATGCCAATAACTGAATCCCATGTTGCTCCCAAAGGCGTAGTTTCCGTTGCCTGTAAATGTATTTAAAGATGATAAGCTATGACAGTATCATTAGTGTGTGAATGTCAGTGTGAATGGGTGAATGCTGACATGTGGTGTAAAGGGATCAGAGTGGTCAGAAGACTAGAAGATTGCTGTATAAGTGCAGTCCATTACTTCTTATGGGTGTGGCCGGTACATAAAGATGCAAAGTGTTTCAGAGGAGGCTGCGTACCAGAAACAGAGGGAATTTTATACAAAACATGGAATTTTCATTGGAGACGCTGAGTTTAGATAGTAAGTGGCTTACTGTCTGCGGGGCCCCTCGTGCTGAAATACCTTTGTACTGTAGTTTCCTTGATGTCTTGTCTGTCGAGGAGTTCTGCCACTGTTAAGTTGTTCTAATCAGAGATTGGGAGATAAAGCTGGTTTAAGGGCTGGGGACAGAACAGTTTAAGATGCTGCCATATATAGTCTGGTCTCATTAATGTCTTTCTTATTAATCCTACATCTGTCCAACTTTGACCTGTTTCAGAGTCACATTAAAATGTTTCAGAGATCCTTTTTTTATTAAGACCGAGTGTGTGTCCGTGTTTGTGGTAACAAGAAGCTCTGCAGTGTTAAAACAGATTGAGATAAGCAGCTGTTACCTGACACTCTGCTTGATGATGACAGAGACGGAGCAGTTACATTTGAGCACATGTATCTGCTTTCACCAAAGCAAGTGTAATAAGTGGATTTACCTGCTTAAAGGGTAAGGATATTTGAGTTTAAATATCATCTTTTACTCATACTGGCCAACAAGCATCCCAGAGGATTATTAAGAATTACTGAAAGGCAGGAAAGTAGGCTTTTGTGTAACGTAAATTATTAAATTATGGTCAGACAGATGAGCTGGAAAGTAGGCTAATGTACAACACACACACACACACACACACAGCATATTTCAGTGCGCTTCAATTCTGTGTATATTTTTTAAAATATTTTTTGAATGTACTTACTGTAATGTATAATATACATGCAAAGTATGGAATGATATGTTTAACTATTTAATGGCATGGCTGAAAATAATAGCATGTTACCCTGTGCATCATCAAAATGTGTATAAAACTCTTTTAAGGATTTGAAACATACTGAATTCACTCTTCTAACTTATCGTGACAAAAACATTTATATATCCCATTAAAGACGCTGACACAAACTATTCTTTATCTATCCTCTTCTGTGAATCACAATTGAAGACAAGGTTGTCATAAATACAAAAGTCAGAAGAAGCTGCTGCTGCTGTTTTACATAACTACATATCAAAACCCATTTATTTATTTATTCTTTCAATTATTCTTTCGTCCTATCTTATACAAGGATCTCATTTGACCTCCATACTTCAATAAATATACCATCATTAAGAGGACTTTTAAAGACAATGCCCTCCTCTTGAACAAACGAATAAAAGTATAATCAGTGTGTCAGTTAGAGGTCTTATTTACTTAGAACAGTGTGTGGAAGGTAGGTGTTGATGAACAGCGCCGTATGATCATGGGACTACATGTGTACCAGCAGCAGGCGTAACTCTACACCTTGATCCGTCATCCCTCTCTCTCTCTTCTGTCACAAACACACACACACACACTGCATGTACTGCGCATACTGTCCAGTACCTGTCGTCCCCTTCAGTGTTGATCCAGATGGTGTTATTCATTAACCATTCAGCTGCAGATGGAGCGCCGCGAGATGCGCAAACCCTCACCTTTTAACCGAGTTTAGCAACAAACACTTGCAGCTTCTGTTCTGCTTCATGTATTTTCCAGACAAATACAAACTCTTCTTCTTCCCTCTTTTTTCTTTTTCTCTTTCTCTCTATCTTTTCTTCTCTTTTGGAATTTACATCCCTTTCCTTCAACTTTGACATTTTCTCTGTCACCCTCCACTCTGTTTTTCTTAAGTCCTTTCTGGTTTATCCCTCCTTCCCTTTTCATCTCTATTTCTGTTGGTACCCTGTTCCCTCACATCCTCCATTAAACCTGACCATTGTTCTATGCCTTTTATTTCTCTATGTATCATTTCCTTCTGCTTCCTCTCCTTCATCTTCCCTCCAAATCTCCTGTCTTCCTCTACTTTTCCCTCCCTCTCAACCTCTCCTCTCTTCCTCTCATCCTCTCTTGTCAGTGGCTCTAGGGCGTAACCAGCCCCTGAAGAGAGAGCGGCCTAAATGGAAAAGTGACTACCCGATGACTGAGGGCCAGCTGCGTAGCAAGAGAGATGAGTTCTGGGATACGGCGCCAGCATTTGAGGGCCGGAAGGAGATCTGGGATGCGCTGCGGGCTGCGGCCAGCGCCTTTGAGAGCAACGACCACCTGCTAGCTCAGGCCATCCTGGATGGGGCGAGCATCACACTGCCGCACGGTAAAACACATTTCCACACTGGCAGATGACTTCATAGACATAATGTTGGACAGTTCTGTTGATGACTACCACCAAAAGAATTTAAATTCCCTCTTCTGAAGCTCTCTGGAGCAAATAAAACTCTGGAACTAAGTTAATAGAGGAGTTATTTAGAAGCCATCTTGTTTTGTTTGTGTGTGCTTTATTTGCCATTTTAAATCTTAACTTAGATTAATACAAAAGGGACAACAATGCATGTAAGTAAGGAGGGCTGCAACAAAAATGCCGTTTGATATTCTGTATATCAGTTTCCATGTGCACGTGATCTGGCTGTGTCTGCCTCTCTCTCTCTCTTCAACTGCACACATCTGAAGGTAATCCTGCACTCTCCCCCTGTGTAACTGCAGGACAAGTATGTATGGCCGAACTTGCTGCTTATTAAGGGAGGACAGCAGAAAAGTATCGCTTGGCAGCACATGATTTAGGTTGACTTTGTATGAAACAGACAAAAAAGACATGCCAAGTTGCAGAAGCAAGGGGAGAATGAAATCTCTGGCGCACAGAGGGGCGAGTGGAGGAGCAACATCTGGAGGTGTTTGTGTACAACAAAAGCAGAAGTGTTAGCAGAGGCAATTGGCTGAGCGATTCTGGCGTGCATACCCAAAACTAGACCAACTGAACAATGAACACACAGCAGGGCAACAGTTCTGCCTGAACTGGATCTCCCTTTGGGGAAAAACTTTATTCATACATGCCCATTGACAGACACAGATAGCCTACTTGATAGTCAGTACTAGAGCATATCATTGGCTGCTGCCACCCTCCACTTTGCTGATGTGTTTAAACAGGACAGACATCTGATTAAATGCTAAACTTGTGTTTTAAAATCAGATAATACCCACAAAAAATATACTACCTAAATATAAAGTAATAATATATAACATTTTAAGACATGACATAGTCAGATATTAATCATTATATTCCCCTTTTGGAAGTGAACGAGCCACTAGCAGTGGTTACCACCCTCCATAAAAGCTCCAGGAACCTCAAAAGATAGAACATAGAAAAAATCAATTATTTCTCAAAAAATCTGTCTTGTTGTTTGAGTGGAAATTTATTTAGCAGCTACCAAAGTGGCAGTTTTAGTAAAATGAGGTGATGCTCATATTCTATATTAGAATTATTCTATATTTTTTCCTTCAATTTATTTTCTTGTTTTTTTCCTTTAGCTTAATTTGGTGATGGGGAGATTGAGTTAGATTGATATTCTTACCTCAGATATATAGGAGTCTTATTCTTACCTCAGATATATCAGAGTCTTATTCTTACCTCAGATATATAGGAGTCTTATTCTTACCTCAGATATATAGGAGTCTTATTCTTACCTCAGATATATAGGAGTCTTATTCTTACCTCAGATATATAGGAGTCTTATTCTTACCTCAGATGTGTTGGGGAGCGTGAGGTCATCAGTTTCAGTGGTATCCAAAGGCTATAAATAAATACGCTGCATTGGCAGAGTAAGGGCTGCGACGCTTAAGGATGTAGAATAGGTTCGCTGAGGAAGTCTCGTATATGACCTCTTATAGTTTCTCTGGTCATCTGAAGTTTCATAAACAGGAAGACGACTCTGCTGAACATGAGGACTCATTTGTGTTTGGAAGAAGAACAAGAAGTATTTTTCCCCCCATTCACAATAATTAACCCCTAATATGGACCTTTAACACAAATTACACACATTTAAAGAAGTCAAAGACGCTTGAGCGCGTGTCTCAATGACTACAATGTATCATTCAGACTGTAGCTATTAAAAAGTATACTCTGTCGAGGGGATCGATGAATAATAAATAAAGAGGAGTGTGTCTCCGGTCTTCTTAAAGTAGGATTTAATGAGGTAATCACTCAGGAAAGTATTCCAAAGGTAGTGCCTCCTCTACAGCATACTTGAGAGCTTCCACATAGAACAGATCAATGAATCGACATGGCTCTGATTCAGGAACCCCGGCATCTCCTCAAAGCAATTATCAGCTGCCGGAGCCGCTTTCTTTTTATGGATGAGCAACCTTCACTTGATTTCTGTTTCATAACTCCTTAGATTCCCCTTGGGGATTAATAAAGTATAGCAAAATCAAGATTCATAGTACTTACACTGAGACTGTCCCTATGATAGCACTCTTGGTTTCACCCCCCCGTGTCTCCAGACTTCATGTAAGAGAATCTTAAAGTGTGCTTTTAATGTTCTCAGTGAAAGTAAAGGTCAGGAGCTGTATGACAAAGGCTGAGATGTATTTGATTTAAAACATGTTATGGACCATTTAAAGATCTCTTACCTGTCATACCAGACCAGCACATCATTGTAGGTGTTGTATAATTGACGTCAACATCAGAAGGTGGTAAACAGATGACCTTTCCCCCCCTGGTACTAAATGGTTACACATGCTCCCTCTCTTTTACCAACGAGACCTCTGATAGTGTCCTGGCTGGGAGAAACCAACAGTCATTGTTAATTAGGTTGGGACAAAATATCGACATGGCAATACATCATCATCCTTGACTCATGTCATACCATTTTGTAATCGCTGTCTCCAAATATCTATATTGTTATTTTGAAAAAAGAAGGCGCTCTTGTCTAGACAGATTTTCCTGCCAATTTGGCTCACAGCGTCAGTACTTCGTTACTGCTTATGGGTAACATGAATGGAAGGGAATTGGCCAAAGAAGAAGTTGACAGCGGGATAGAGAAGAAGAACACAGTAGGATAATGTCGGACATCGGGGAGAAGAAGCTAAGAGAGGATGCATGAGAAGAGGTGTAAATGATACCAAATTACAATAATTAGATTACTCATGTACTGTACCTTTTTATTGGCTCATTTTGTATTCTTTTGTAAAACCTAACAGACTAGTTTGGTGTGTAAATCTGGTTAGTAAAGTAGTAAAAAGGTTGTACTTTGTTTTGGTTCAGGCAGCAAAATCGCTTTGTTTTTGTAAAGAGTTTGATTCAGGCTGATAAAGTGACATGTGATACACATGTCACTAGTGACATGTGTGTCACTAGTGACATGTGATACACATGTCACTAGTGACATGTGTGTCGTGTGTCACTAGTGACATGTGATACACATGTCACTAGTGACATGTGTGTCGTGTGTCACTAGTGACATGTGATACACATGTCACTAGTGACATGTGTGTCACTAGTGACATGTGATACACATGTCACTAGTGACATGTGTGTCACTAGTGACATGTGTGTCACTAGTGACATGTGTGTCACTAGTGACATGTGATACACATGTCACTAGTGACATGTGTGTCACTAGTGACATGTGTGTCACTAGTGACATGTGTGTCACTAGTGACATGTGTGTCACTAGTGACATGTGATACACATGTCACTAGTGACATGTGTGTCACATGTCTCTTGGGTAAAGTTCATCCTTCCAGTTTCTTTTTGAGGGGCTGTCAGGAAACCACTTAACCTACTCTGCAGTTTGCAGAAGCAAAGGTATTCTGTAAGTTGGCAAACAGGAACAATGATAAAAAAAAAAAAAACAGCTCTACCTACTGGAGTGATTTGGGTAGAGCAGGTACCAACAAAATGACTTCTGCTGCATGTACAAGTGGGCCTTGTTTTGTCCTCTTCCTTTCCTGTTGGTAGTTCTGTCTGGTTCAGATCAGATCCCGCTGGGCTGCAGCTGTGGATTCCCCAGGTCTGATGTCACTTAACACTCGTCCAGCACTCTGGTACAAAGAGCAGCCACATCACTAGATTATTTCACCATTCACAAATGTCATGCCTTTCTTTTTTTACTCTCAACATTCCCGTATGACTTGATTGCCTGTCTGCCAGTCAATAGTGGCATTGTATTACAATCAGATCGCTCAGTTTCTAGTTGTGCAGATTGTGAAAATATTGATTTATCACTTTATATTCAGCACTTACTGGATGTTGGTTTTCTCGGAGCAGTCATCATCCTTCAATGTCCTTATAAGCTTAAATAACTTTGGCTATGATGCTAAAGATTTTTAAATGAATGGTAAATGGGCTTGAGAGTATATAACCCTTTTCTAGTCTTCTGACTGCTCAAAGCACTTTTACACAGCAGGTCACATCTACCCACTCACACACTGATGGCAGTCAGGTTGCTATTTAAAGTGACCATCAGAAGTAACTAATCCCATTCACACACATTCAAACGCCGCCGACAAAGCAGTGGGAGCAAGTTGGGGTTAAGTGTCTTGCTCAAGGACACATGGGACATGTGGCTGTAGGAGCTGGGGATCAAACCCCAGACCTTCCAGTTGAGAGACAACCGACTCTACCAACTGAGCCACAGCAAGTTTAAAGCACAACTAGTTATCACCTTTCAGTAAAGAGATAGTATCTATGGGTTCCTAGAACACTCCCACATTCTATTCACTTGTTAGAGATGCATCAAATGATGTATTAATTTTTCTCTTCATATGACGAGACTAGAGAACTTGCTCTTTGGTCATTAAAAGTGGCTGTAGGGGTGCCAGTAGCCTAGTGGTTAGTGCGTGCACGTCCTTTGTACGGATGCTTTAATCTTTCAGGCGGCCTGGGTTTGAATCTGACCTAAGGCTCCATTCGCGCATGTCTTTCCCCACTCTCTCTCTCGCCCAGATTTCTGACTCTATCCACTGTCCTTTCTCTGAAATAAAGGCATAAAAAGCCAAAAAATAAACCTTGGCTATTAAACCTAAGAAGTAGAAAGTGGGACGAGTTTGCATCAGTGGTTGGTAAACATCCAATCTACATAAACGTCTACAGAATACATTCTTTATAAGCTTTATACTTTTTTGTTGCAATGCAAACAGAACTGCAGCAAACAAACCTCTTTCATGTAAGAACATATTTTCATGCTTGGATCTTACAATGTTTCACTTCAGCACTGTGCAGCTGAAGGATAAACTCTGAGGTGGAGCCACCTGGGGAAGAGAAATAGCAAGACATAGAGATTTGTAACAGACATGAAGAGTCTTAACAGAATCCTTTTGAAGGCTTGTTGTCAGTGCACCAAGTTTAACATTTATCTTAGATTTACACTAGCCTTTTATCACACTGGCCATGCGAGCACCCACATTTAAGAAGTTTCTGCTGCAACTTACGTTACATAAAGAAATCCTTTTAATCATGATAGACCTTGTTTTGAAACACTTTCACCGAAAACTTGTACACTTCTGACTACGCAGATGTAAACCCTATTTGGATGCAACAAGTCCCATCTTGTCAAAAGTAATAACATCAGCACACTGAAGAGGTGTTTTCTTTTATTTGATGATAAAAAACTAACAGTACATTTCACAGACAGCCTTTATTTTGACTCAACAGAGAGCTGGGAAAAAAAAAAGTGAGTGCTGAAATATCTGAGGTCAGTTGTCAACTTATTTTGATAGCTTTTTTTTGTGTATTTTCACTCCAAGCGGTAAGTCGAGCCCTTTCTCACACTCACTTCAGTAAAGCGAGACCTGATGGCGTAGTGTGGCCTTTGTGTTCTCAGCTTGACCACTGCAGCTGCCGTTTTGACAGAAAGCAGCATCCTGTGGCTTCTACTGACTCATCTCTCTCTGCCTTACCACACAAGTCTTTTCTGAATAGCTCGTGCTGTCATTGAACTCACAAAACAGCTCAGGAGCTGGTGGGACCTTTGAAAGACTGCTTAGAGGTCAAAGCAGAGGATTTCTACTTTCTGCTTTTGTGGGGAGTTTTCACCCTGACCTTAGATTATGTTGTTATAGTTTTTAAAATACATGAAGGGCAACATCGTTTGTGAACTTAAAAGAAATAAAAAGACGGAACATAGAGGATGTCTCTTCTGTGTATGAACTACATTACACTTTAGGATAAGAAAACAAAGCCAACCAATGACAGGAGCTTTTAATCTTCTTTTAAAAAAGCTTTTAAAAACGTTCTTCAGGCCAATCATTCTCCTAACATGTGAAATAGTCTCTCGAAGGATTCAGGTACTGCAAGTCTCATCCCTAATGTCACTGTAACTTTGGAACTACCCATACAGCAGAACTTTGGGGGGGGGGGGTAGACCCTGGTTCATGTGGTGGACACACTGAACACCTCCAAAGTCCCTAAGTCCTGCTATCGCGTTACTTGTTGGAATCAACTTTTTATCTGGTGTTTTAAGGTATGACAAGTAGGGACAAATGATTATGCAAGAGGTATGTCTTAAATTGCCCTGAAGGACCCCCCCCACACACACACTTTAGTATCACTATGTTAACTTTCAGTTTGCGTCTTCACTGCAACTTTCTTTCCCCCTCTGTACTGTAAATAAGAAAATGTCTCTAAATGTCACACTCCTACAGACACATGACATTCCCTTTCTCCTGCTTTCATTCATAGATTGTTCCTCACAGTCTCTGTTCTCCTTTGACTCTCATTTCTCCATTCCAGCTTAAAACAGTCAAGTATGTGATATGCATGCCAGGTGTTGGCTTTGTTATTTGGAAAAGAAATGTGTTGAGGGGTTACCTATTACACATTTTTAACTGTTAGTTTCTTTGTATTGGAACTTCCCAGTTAAACCATCACCTAGTCTGGTGGACCTTACTTTTTATACTGCTGAGTGAGTTGTAAGAAGCTGTAACATGCTGCGTATGGTTAAAGTGATTCTTATATCATATAACATAGATTTAAAAAAGTGTGGCAGTCACACTAATACATACTCAAATGATCATTCTTAAAAGATTCTGGATACAATAGAGAATCTGTTTTTGAGGAAGGAACAAGAATCTGGTTTTTAAAAAGAGATCTAGTCCAATTAAAGGCCACTAGCTAGTCATCAGTCACCCTACGATGATTGAGTGTATGTATATAATAAGGCACCTGCGTTTATCTGCAGCCAACTATCCACTTCAAGACACATTTTCTCAACTCTAACTCAATTTGTGCTTCTAATCAGACTGTTAACATTGGTCAGAGCACCAAAAAAAGAGAACTAGCTGGAATTCTTTAACACAAGTTAGACATCCAAGAGGCTAAATGGTCAGTAGACAATATAGCCAATGGGTTAGGAGAATGACAGTGAAGTAATGTTTTACTGTCTTTCACTTTCTATCTTCATTATCATGTTGTAATGATGTCATTTAAGTTAGGAATTGATTTGTATACAGGTATTGATCTTTTTTTTTTCCATTTTTCCAGGGGCTCTGACTGAATGCTACGATGAGCTGGGGAATCGATACCAGCTGCCAGTCTACTGCCTCTCTCCTCCCGTCAACATGATCGAGGAGCACTCTGAAGAGCCCGACGGTTCAGATCCAGACTCTGGTGCAGCGGATCCGTCCACGGGCAGCGCCAGCGATCAAGGCTCAGGAGGGGAGTGCCAGCTGAGGCTCCGGCTCTCAACGGGCCGCGACCTCCGGCTGGCTGTTCGTTCTTCGGACACAGTGGGCATGATGAAACGTCGTCTACAGAGTCAGGAGGGCGTTCCTTCTCCGACCCAACGCTGGTTTTTCTCAGGTCGGCCTCTGACAGACAGGCTGCGCTTGGACCAACTCAACATCTCCAGGGACTATGTGGTGCAGGTGATCCTCAGCCAGCCGCCACCGCTGGAGCCGCTGTCAACAGCAGGACACACACTAGAGGGCCCCGGGCCGGTGGCAGAGGAGGCAGTGGCTGCACTGCCGCAGGAGCCCACGCCTGTGGAGAACTAACTCTGCTCAGTCTGGCTCCCTGGAGGCAGGAGTACCAACCTGTTTAAAAGGAGGACAACAAGGGAGAAAAAAGGATGAAAGATGATTCTGGCTTTTCTCTTTAGATTAGTTCTCTTCTCTTCTCTCCTCCTCTTCATCCCTCTTTTTCTCCTCTTCATCCCTTCTCTTCTCTTGATTTCTCTCCTCTCAGTCTTTCTTTGTTGGCTGTCTGCTGGAGAAAAAAGACTCCTGAATTGAGGAAAAACTCTTCCTTTTGGTTTACATGTCGAAATTTTGACCTTTTTGAAGTATTTTTAACTGTTCCTATGGAAACCAAACAACAAAGCAAAACTTTGTCGGATGGCTCAAAGGGTTTTCTTAAGAACACTGATGATCGAATGTTTCTGTTTCTATTCAAGTTCTGCTCTCTGGTAAAGCTTAGAATTCTGTTTATGGGGCGACAGGGTTTAACAATTATTTCATGACATACACTTTCAACCTGGACATCTTACGAAGAAAGAAATATAGATACTCAACAATCACTCTTAGTTATACTGAACATGAATCAAATCCAGGCGATTTCCTCACTCAGGATCAAAGTCGGTATGCTAACAGCTGGAAAGAAAGGTTGATGCTGTTAAGCAAACAGATGTGTCCTCAGTGTGGTCACATCAGAGGCATGACAACGTTTTACCAAGCTTTACTTCACTCTGCTTCAACAATCAGAGCAATCATGTAATAAACATCAATTAGTCAGCCTATCTCTGTGTGTGTGCGTGTGTGTGCGTGTGTGTGTGCGCGTGTGTGTGTGTGTGTGTGGGGGGGGGGGGTGTTCATATAAGTTTAAGACACAGCCACACATACTCATGTGGGAAAAGGATGGCACTTTAGAAACACAGTTGCATATTTTGATTAAAAATAGTAGGTTTTTAATTAAAATTGATCATTGTTTCTATTCCTCTTGTCTCTGTCTCAATGTGTCCTCAGTGTTTTCACGTCTTGTTGTTGAAGTAATATGATGCATTATATTCTCTGGCATAACATTGCAACTAACATATTTTACAGTCTTTCTGTTTGTGGCTCTAAATCAATGTTAAAGGACTTCAACTAATCAGTGCTTGCAATTTTTTTTATCTCAGGTTTATGAAGAAGAGACAGATAATGCAGTGCAAATATGAATTGTTTTAACTATAATGTATTTGATTTTGATGTTTATACTATTATACTATACACGTTTCACTTAAAAGGATCAGGCTAAGGTGATGATTTTCCTATTTCACAAACTGCTGATTTGCCTTTTTGGTCTAATCTTATCTTTGCGCAGAGTTGTTACATTGTCATATTTGAAAACTGGAGTCATATCTGAACAGCTAGCCTGGCTCTGTCCACATGGAGAGTGTAAGGATAAGCCTACACGCCCCTCTAACTCTAATCTATGAACATGTTATGTCTTCTTTACTTTGTACACAAACTTTTAATGACTTTAATTTGTGGTTTCATAAGGAGTTGTGTGTCTTGTCGCACCACATCTCAAACTCACTGCCCTGACAAGGAATGATTTCTACACATAACAGTGAGCTTTAGAAGTGCCAGTAAGTTTTCTTTTCTTTCTTTACATTAGGTCAGAGTTGTTTTCCCCTGCTGCCAGTGTCTATGTTAAGCTGATCCTAAATAACCAGCATTCTTTTCTCAAGCTGTAGGAAATCTAGTTAGACAATATAGTAAAATGTAGAAGAATGAAGAATTATTCATATTGGTCATGGCTAATTTAAAGGTCAGGCATGTTTTACAACTCACCACACAACAGCTTCCCTTTTCCTTATGATTTTCTATTTCCTTATTTTAATGTCCCTATTTTATTCACTCATTTCAACAAGACAGAAATGGAAAACTCCCCAGAAAACACAAGAGATGAACAAACGCCTTGTAGTTGGAAGAAGCCACCATGAGTAAGCTTGTTTTGTTTTTTTTTGACAGAAGTGCTGCCAACTGGCATTTCCCCATGTGGGAACAATAAGTGAACGTCATGCAGCCTGTAATAGAATGAGGAAGAAAACCTGCATGCCACCTGCTGCTATTCGTCAGTCACACAAAGGTGTGTAAAAAGCTTTTGAATTTTTGAGGAAGAAGGAGAGTACTTGACAAGCCAGGATGCTTTTAATGTGAAAAGTCAGGCTGCAGAGGAAGTGATAGAGTACCGTTTTTTTTTTATTTAGCCAGGAATTTTTTCAATGAAGAAATAAAAAATCCATTTAACAAAAGAGTCCTCGGCAAGACAGCAGCACCAAAGGTTTCAAACACACACACACACACAAAACTAAAGCGCAACTAAAGCAAGAATGTACAATAGGCAATAAAATTAGCAGTGTTCAGCATTAAAACGTGCATACACTGGTGAAATGATCATTCATGCTGGTTTTTAACCTCCTGAGCTAAAACAACAGTCAGGTGTAATGTGACTCTGTAGCTCTGAGACCAAGAAGACAGAGCAAATACTTTAAAACTCTTTTGCCCAAAAACAGCAGTTTTGTTGAATTTCATACACAATGTGCCCATGAGCCCAAAGGTCAAAGCTAGTGGCAGTTTAAGACATCAGTAATGAATAATAATATGGTCAGTGTGGCGTTAAGTCATCAGTCCTCTTAAACAACTTACGTTATGCTTAGGGTTTTTTTCCGGGAAATACCTGTGTGTTCATACCTGCAATGAGGTTGCAGACTCAAAATGTATTTCTCTCTGTTTTGCAAAAAGGGATCAGTATGACACATAGAATCACATTAAAGATGGGCAAAGTTTGTGGTTTCACGTGTGCATCCTTAAAGTATAATCGCCCCCTCTCTGTCCTGAGCAGCAGACTGGAACCCACAAAGCGAACTAACCTTTGGCAACAGTCATCTGTTACCTGTTTTCATAAGCACATAGCAATGTTGAATCATAAGAAACCTCTCATCATAATAAAGGTAAGGTCTCTCTTAGAGGAAATATTGTCCTGGTTATTGTAACAGAAAGACATACATTGGCGATGTTAAATGTTAGTGGTTGTCGTGGTCTGAGAATGAATAGTAGAAAATCTCTCAAGAATCCCTTTTGTATAGGCAACATACCAAATGTGTGACCAGCATATTTGTTGTTTCTTATTGTTTTATAAGTGAGTATTAACCTTATCCCAGCTGTGACTTTATTCCCTCTCACACTTCCACAGAGGTGTTAAACACTTTACCTTTTTTTTTTATTATTATTATTCCTGAGAACTTATGATTCTTTTCCAAGGTACCTTTTCACTCAGTAATTGCCACACATGTCATGTAGACACTTGAAACACTTCCTTTTTCGAATAGGTTTATGCCGCTTGTGTAGCCCTGACTTCCTCTAAGATGGTCAGTACAACTCCACAAGCATTCACACATTTCCACATTGGTAAATGGTCAAATGAGAAGAGAACTATTGTTCTCAGCTTTTGTCATCTTCTTTGTGACGCTGAAAATCAAGTGGGACAAAAAGTGGTCACAGTGCCCTCTGTTGTTTCCACCGCCTGCTGTAAACCATCACTTTCACATCATCAAACTCTCAGGTAAAAAAAAAAGCCACACACTGTCACAGTCGACATGAGGTAGTTCCTCTTCTTGTTGGGTTTTTTTTTTTACCCTTCTTCAGTCAGACATAAATACAGCAACAGCATGCTGAGTTCAAGCAGACAATCTGAAGACACCTCAGGCAGTCAACTAATTTCTACTTTAAAGCTCGACGTGTAGTTTTAAACTCAGGATCACGTCTCGTTTCAAGGTAAGATCTTTTGAACTCGTTCACTTTTGTTTCTTCCTCTTGTCTGTATTCACTAGAAATATTATTTAAAGAAAAAAACTCTCAAAATTAGTTGATAACTTTATCCAGAGACTCATTTTTTAAGTAGCAGCTAAACCACAGTTGATTATGATGAGTGCCTTGAACAAGAATCCTTACAGCATCATTTTACTCAAGCGCTTCAAATACTTTTAGGAATCTTTAACAAAATGTTTTTGTTTACGCTTTTATAACAGTTTTATTTAACTTCTTCAGAGACCCTGTATATTAATCAAATCAAACAAAGAAAAACGTCTTTAGTTGGACTTGTCACAGTTTGTTAAAATCAAAACCATTATTTTTTACACATTACTTAGTTTGATGAGGGACAAAAAGAATGAGAACCTTTGCTTGTCTTGAATTTGGAAGACTTAATATTAAACAATGCACTATATATCCTTATGAAATGTATCTCAGGATTATAGCTCCATGTCATTTTACAAACTTTTAAAACTTTAATTGATTTTTTGTATTATTGAACTGTCATATTTTTGCATCATAAAGAATTTCATTTTTATAGGACATAATAACCAGAGGGTGACTCCAGTATTTGGAACGTGCTTACTTATACTTCTTTCTTCCAGATGCGTCCATTGTTCCTTCTGTTCCTGGGTGCTGCTCTGTGCTATGCCAATACTGACAGCAACCAGCCGAAAATTGAGTCCCTCATGGATAATGGTTGGTAACCACTCTGTTTACAACTAAATATTCATCTGCCTTTCCATTTACCTTCATTTAATTTTCATACAGTAAATAATCACTCACTGTGTGTTTTTTGTCTGTTTGAAATCTAGTTCTGGTCCTGAAGGTGCCTTATGGTAGGGGCAGGGTGTATGTTAATCTGACCTGTGGAGAAGCTTATCAAAACCAGCCTGTGTTTTGGAAGGAAAACGGTAAAACAAGTGTTTCTTTTGATACTACCTCTACAATCTATTCGTCCCTCAGATGTAGAATTGTCTCTGTGTTTTGATAAACCATCGAAGCGTGAAGTGTGATGTCAGTGTCACATGTCTTCATCTCAGGCGTGGAGCTTAAACCAGCTCTACAGGGGAACCACGTCAAAGTCCTGGTGGTGGAGTTGAGAGGAGGAAACTATAGTTGTCACCAGAGCCCAGATGGACGGTACCTCAACCACACCACGATCCTGGTCCAACCAGAACGAGACAACAGGAGTATCATACTGCAGGAAACATCCCCCGAAGGAGGTAAGAGAAGAAAGATAGAGGGAAAGACCAAAAAAGGAACACAACAGGAGAAAAAGCTGAAAGAGAGATTAAGATGTGTGTTGTTGTCAGACCTGGAGAGAGACTCGGGATGGATGTCTCTATGACGCTGAGATAAGAAAGATGGTCAGAGTAGAAGATGATAAAAAATGACAAAGGAAAGGGACTGTGGCCCAAAAAGCAGAAGACATTCAAGGAGAAGGTGAATGACGGGGGACATGAAAAGAGAAATTGGATACAAAGGATAAGTAAAGGATTAGGAGACCTAGAAGGGAGGGAAGAGGAACAATGGGAAGGGCAGACGCAATTGAAGAGGAGGAAACAAAAGAATAACATGATTGCAGAAAAGGAAGCAAAGTGGTCGGCAAAAGAGAACTAGAAATAGTTCCAAAACTGCTTGTGTCTTTGTTTTATTCATGGACATTCTTTCATTTGATTTGGTCTTCTTTCCACCTCTCAAAAAGGTGAAAACCTGAGAAAGCTCTTATTTCTTTTTGTACTGAAAAACACCATCCTGACTCCAGTTTGTGCCATGAGACAGTTTTCTTGTGTCAGATTTCGTCTAAATATACGTTTTGCAATTTTCTCCTCAATTTATAATCCTCAGTTACTCCTCAGTTTATCCATCTTTAAATGCGGGGACCTTCCAAATGAAGCCCTCTGACACACAAAATAAAGAATGAAATAGCTCACCAGAACATATAACACAAACATAGGGAGACACTGACCGTATTTCTGTTCCTGTAGGTCACATCCACTGTTCAGCTCCTAACTATAAAGGCTCCTTTCACTGCACCTGGACAAGATCAACTGACAGACCCATGGCCGCTGTGCTCCTGGTGACGGCTGAGCGGTGAGGACAGAAAAACACTAATGATTGACTGTATTCTGTTGTAGGTAGTATTTGTGCTAACCAGTTTGTCTTGTACACAGTCATCTGGAAAAGATTCCCTGTGTGCTGGATGCTGATGGATCAGGAGTCCACTGCAATGGCACGAGCTGCCATAACAATGAGGAACAGCACAGCATTTCCCTGACTGTTTACATACGCAGTTATTCTCTCCTAGAGAAATACACCAAGAGCTTTTTCCTGAGAGACATCGGTGAGTAACTGTTTTTTAATATTTCTGCTTAAATAAGTTTTAAATGGAAGCCCTTAGATGTGCATCCATACATTTCATTTACTCAGTTTTCCTATATGGTTGTATGTCTGCCTTGGGCTACCGCAGTTATGGTTCTGGTTTGTTTTTCAGTGCTTGTATATTATGAATGTAGCAGTTAACATAAAACATGTGTCAGAAGAAGTTTAAATAGTTGCTCTTCTTGTAAATTTTGCAAGTACTTTTTGAACTACTGGTGATGCGAATACTTAAACAAACACTGTGTTGTTTCCTCACCCCTTCAGTGAGGCCGGCAAACCTCCCCAACCTGCGCACCAGTGACATGAAGGTGTTCAGCTGGGACTATCCAGAGACCTGGGATAAGCCCTGCACATTCTTTCCCCTGCAGTTCCAGGTTAAGGTGGTCCCCAGGGGTCATGACTGCAACAGCATGGAGCACTTAATGGTAAATCAAATCATACATAGCTTACAGGAGAACAGTTTAAAGTCACACCTATAGCTACATTTGTCTGCCTTCTTTGTAATCATATTCCTCTTCTGCAGAACACAACCACTCTGCAGACTCAGCACGAGATCAGTGTCAAAATCAAGAAGTTTGTTTTCTGTGTGAAAGCTCAGGACATGTTCACCAACGGGCCATTCAACCAATGGAGCAGCTGCACGTGAGTTTATTTCTCAAACCATTTGTACGAGTCATCTTATTTCATTCAAATAATTCATCAGTACTGATTCTGTCCAACCTGTCTTTCTGCAGAGTGAACAAACATGAAGTGAAGTGCTCTTCTGATACTGGACTGCAGCCATAAGGAAAGAAGAGAACAACAATGTTTTCTGGAAGTCCTCTTTTTAAACTTTTCAAAATATTTAGAAATCAAAGCTGGGCTTTGGCAGTGAACGTGTACATGTACAGTATTTATTGATCATTCATAATGTTGTAATTGGAACTAAATTATCAATAAAGCAAATATTTGTAATATCATTGTGCCTTTGAATGACTTGATTATTTATATATTATATATGTATTTCAAACACAGAGATGGTTGCAATGAAATACTGTAAATATGAACATAAGGAACAATAAACAACAACATAGGCAACTTAGTTACAAAAGAGATTTATTGTCATATTTACAGCCAGGATGTCAGGGATGTGATGATGGAAACACTAAAAGGCAGATCTCAAGAGATCATCCATAGAAATGAAAGGAATTTAATTTAAGAGAGAACTGTAAACCTGACGAAATCTGAAAAATCACATCCCTGATGTTTCCAAGAGCTTCAGATGCTGCACATGCTCCAACAACCCTTCCACTTCTTTATCCATAACTTAAACTAAACACTGACAATAAGTGCAGAAAAATTCATCTCGTTAAAAAAAAAACTACCCAAAAACAAAACTGTCATGTGCACATTTTGTGCTGTTATTTTTAGCATCACCCATCTTTTCAGTATTTCTATAAACCCAAAATCTTTCAATGAAAGCTCTAAACAAAACACCAACTCATGAAATCTTGTTTAGTATCCAAGAGTGTGTGTTCAGCAATGCAACAGAGCTGGTATGTCAATGGAAATGAAAAGAAACACAAAAATACTACCATCCGCCTAATCAAAGCTGATCGCTTATGTGCCTACGGCCTGCATGTATACAGAAAACGTACAACTTCCTCCAACCGTTCAGACGGATCCTCCAACCGTGTAGGAACAAGATATAACATGTGCCAATTTCTCTATGACCAGTCTCAATGTCAGTAACTTTTAGTGTCACAGTGGTTTAAGGATTATTGCATATTTGTCACTTAAACTATCAGGTTTAATGATAAACCAAATGTTCAATCATGGTTAATCTCTGTCTCTTTAAGGTGACATCTATATTTCACAATAGGGGAGGAGGACGTCACCTGTCACCCAAACTATGTTGACTTCATTATATGTCTCAATTGGTTGGTATAGCATAGTACTCGAAACTCACAGGAAAGTATGCCAACTTTTCAATGAGAGACAAACAAACTACAATGTAAAATGATGAAAACCACCCAGCCCATTAGGAAGGCCAAGCAGGTTTAAAAAGCTCTCAAGATATGACTGTTATTAAATTCAGAATTTGACCAGACTGATGTCAGCACGTTGAAGTTTGTTTGTCTCAAATCTTTCAGCCGTTTTAACTCATACAGTAATACACTAACTGGTAGAAACGGCCATTATTTTTTTTTAAAACCGCAAATGATATTTGGAACAAAATGTGCATGACTTGGGAAAGACAAATAGCATGCAAATATAGAAAATGGGAAGTCCATCTCAGTCCTGAGCTTAGGAGTGTTGGTTAGTGTGGGATCTGGCGTACGGGCTGAAATGACGGTCTTGTAGTAGCAAATAGTTGGTGGGGATGTGTGTGAGGACTTGACACTGGGAAGAGACTTCAAGTCATAACAGAGGATGCAGTCCATCTTCAGTGGTGCTGCCTCTTAGATAGGTACCTTCACACACAAATTCACACATAAATACATGTATATGTTTGATAATTCAAAAGTGTTTGTTGAATCTTTATTTCAAACTTGCCTATTTAGATGTACATTATGTATATCATTTTATATATGGCAGATATGTGCAACAAGAATGTGTTGTGTCACTACTATATTAATACAACTGTTTCATCATGTGTGCATAGCATACCTCTCCCAGTGTTTGTGGTTGAGTCCACTGAAATCCTCAAGCTTGGCGATTTCTTTGAGGTACTGAGCCAGTTTGTACAGCTCTCTGTCCTTCTCCCTGTTCATGTGGGCCTTCATGAAGGGTCGGATCTAACACACAAAAAGACAAACACAGGCAAATAAGCTTCTGCAAAAAATGTGCACAATGCTGACGAATCAGAGGAAGAGGTCAAGCTTATGATGACAGTACCGTCTGCCTACCTTTAGTCCGTTCTGTGGATTCATGAGGAAGTTTCGTCCAATGTCGTCAAACATGATGGTGTTCTTCCTGCTGTAAAATTCTCCGTACTTCCCCCATATCACACCCAGAGGCTTCACCTGGATATGTGCACGCCATCAAACAAAATGCATGAATACTATCACCTTCTTAAAGAGAAGCCGACCTGATTCCATCAGCAATATGTGTAACTGCACAGTGAAACAGGTCAGGATATTATATGTAGGATCAGCTGTGTGTGTACCAACCTCCACAACCCCTCTCTTTGGGGTGTGTACCGTGATCATAGCTGCACTGTCCAGCATGAAGGTAATCTTGTAGTGAGGGTTGTCTGTCACTCCAAGCTCCTAAACACAAATGCACAGGCAGCTGTGTTAACATGTGTTCCCCTCAAAACCCAAATATTGCATGTTAAGTTGATCAACACTGCCACCTTCTGGCAGAAAAGGGGTACAGCACAGTAATGTTTCATTCAGTCCACTACTAACAGATGATTCTAAGATTCTTGAAGACAAGTAAAGGAAAACAAACAAAACATGGACCCTTACTTTCATTTTAGCATCAATCCATTTCATACTTGTTGCAGCTAGGGAGAGAAAATACGTGTAAGATGTATATTCTACAAGCTGCCAGCACATTGAGTTAATCACACACAACAAACGCCCAAAATAGAAATACAAAAATAGAAATCACATAATGTTGGCTTCCAGTAGTTGACATTATTTAAGCTGTCCAATTAAAAAATACGCTGCACAGTACTGCTGACTTTTCAAAGAAATGTTGCCATACATTTCACTGCACATCTGTATGAGCATGTGACAAATAAAAATCTTGAATCTTGAATCCATAAATATGTGTACAACTTTTAATTACATTCTCCTGCTCTTTTACTTTGAGTTTGAAGCATTCAGTTTAGTCCGATTGAGACCTCATAACAAGAAAAGAGAAGAAATAATACATACACCAGATGACAATGTCAAAGTCCTCGTAGGCTGATGTCAGAAACTCGTGAAGATATGGTCTCATTAGCTCCTGACCTGTTTCTGCACATGACTTATGATCTAGACACACAAATCAAACAATGAAAGCTCTATGTACTAGATTAAGCTTTCAGCAGAGACACGCTGTCAGAGCTTTTTATTTAAAAGTGTCATCTGTATAAAGTTAGTGCAGACATGAAGAAAGGAAACAGCAAGTAAATGATGTATACATTATACTGCTAAAAGTCGTTTATCATTTAGCTGCTATCATTTAACAAGTTGTAAAGTGATCTGTCCATAAGTAAACCATTTAAAGAGACAAATGTCTGCGTCCTTCTAACTCACCGAACAGTGTATAATCGACATCCAGTACCAGAAGCCTCTTGCCTTCTCTGGGAGGGTTCAGCTCCTCCACCTTATAGTCTTTTACTCTGCGAGCAATTTTAGCCAAGTTCTCCTCTCTGCAGATGTACAACAATATTTGTTTATCAGATAAACAAAGACATATATGTTGTTACACTCATGATATATCTAATTCAGCATTTATACAACCACAGACCTGTTCTCCACTTCAATGACCTCTTCCTCGATGTCAAAATCATTGACCACATCATCGTTCTCTGGTGGAGGAGCTAAAACATCTTCCTTCACAAAGCAAAATATATTCACAGTTAGCACTGCACTGTGCCAGGCAGCAAATAAACAATAATAATAAATCTACGTGAGTTTAGCCCATTGAAATATTATGAATGCGTAATGTCCTATTTCTCTTTCTCAGTTAATTTCTTTGTCACACTGACACCTACCAAGCTCTCCTCTCTGGTGCCCATCATCATGATCTTAGTGTTTGGCTTCAGCTTCAGAGAGCCCAGCTTCACCTCATCCTCTGCAGGTTTACCTTTAGGCAAGATTAAAGTCCACGAAAGGAGAAGAGGGAGATTTGTTAAGACAAAACACAACTATTGAAACGTTAGTTGATGCATAAATAATACAAATTTTTAAAACAGAGCATCAGCTATTCATGGTTTAACCTTTTTCTTACTCACTGCTAACATAAGCACAAAGATAAAAAGGACAATAAAGGCCAAATATCATTCATCTGGTTTCAATATCATAAAGTATTATATACACTACTTCCAAAAGAGATGGCCTCTCACCTTTGACTTTGAGTCCCAGTAGTTTCTGTCTCTCTGGCAGCACCCCAGTCAAGGTCTTAATTGACTGTTTGAGGTCCATTATTGTGTCCTCCTCAGACAGAGAACTGATGGAGTACTCCTGGCCCCCCCACTTAATGATCACTGATACCGACATGTCACAGTGAGGATGCTCAAACACATACGCACACACTTGGCGCCAGCTGCACGTGCACACACTTTCAAGCAAAAGACTATCACCCAAGTGACAAACATGCACACGCACACCTAGAAAAAGAGAGGGAGGTAAACAAGAGGAGAGGTGTCAGGATGCTTGTGACTATAGCTTCAGCAAAACTTATCAAGAAGCTAATAGCGAAAAACGGTAAGCAAATGAAGCATTCACAAGCGTTACACGTGTGTTGTGTTTCCTCTCCAATTAAAGGCACAACGGCCAAATACTACCTAATCAGAGTTGACAGTGATTGTCCCTCCCTGGTGTTGATATTTTTAGCATGAGACGGCTAATATTAGCTAGCAACAATGTAAACAAGCAAGGTAACCGGCCAACTCGCTCACACTAGCTTACTTAGCAACACGGTGTGGGTAGAATTACCTGAAAGAGCAAAATAACGTGTTATACTCAGAGAATACAGTCAATTTTCGTCCAAAGTTCAATAACTGAATGAATGAATGAAGTTTGCCGTTCAGTTTCATTCAGAGCAAGGCGCACACTCTCCTCTTCCTGGCGTCCCAAATTCTACCGGATGTGACGTCGGAAACTAAAAGCTTCGTTACCATAGTGACAAAGTAATAGTAAATTGACAATGATAATAATGATACAAACTGCATAAGTGAAAAGTTGAAAAGCTAAACAACACAGAAGTAGGAACCGACTGGGAAAAACCTTAAAAAGTTGCTTCATCATTAAATTACTTTGCATAGATATGATACAAAACAGGAAAGGAAATTAAATGTACACCCTTAGGCCACTTAAATCAACAATGTGTTTTATTTATCGACAGCTCAATAATTATCCTCCTGTTTATCAAAAACACTAAAAACGTATTTTTGGTTGGACTTTCTAACTTAATGCACTGCATACTTTGCTGTACATGTACATGTGAACTGTAGGCTTTTGTGACTGTCTTACCTTTTTCTTTATAGTTGCTGTTGTTGTTATTAAACATTTAAACTTTAGCCTGAGTTGCATATATCATATATCAAACTGTATTGTGGGCTCATGTTTTTTTTGTATGGGTGGGATATGTATGTATATATGTGTTGTGTGTTTGTATGTATGCTGGCTGCTGGAACACCTAAATTTCCCTGCTGGGATGAATAAAGTATATCTTATCTTATTGCTATTATTTTATTATGGTAATTGTATTATTGAGATTATATTAATTATCTGTATGTTGTGACATGTGCCTGTGAAAAGTACTTTATAATGAAACTTGATTCGCTTTTCTTACTTAGCATAGCTATCACAAATTTCCTTAACCTAAATATAGTCCTATCTAGCAAGCACCACAAGCCTAACCATTATCTTTTTTTTTTTATTATGGTAATTGTATTATTGAGATTATATTAATTATCTGTATGTTGTGACATGTGCCTGTGAAAAGTACTTTATAATGAAACTTGATTCGCTTTTCTTACTTAGCATAGCTATCACAAATTTCCTTAACCTAAATATAGTCCTATCTAGCAAGCACCACAAGCCTAACCATTATCATTTTTTTTTTTTTAATGTATGGGCTAGCAAACTTACTGGATCTCCAGTTTCAGCTTAATTCCCCTTTACAGTAAACGTTGAAGAATATTAAGCAACACTGCAGCATTAGTTAAAGTATTTTAGTAAAATGATAGCCTCTTAAGTAAAAAGCATGTAAGCAAAGAGATTTAATGGGACGGACGACTGCGCATGCGCAATACATCTTTCTCGGTACTCGGGGGTAATGGCTGCTGGCTGAGATGAACGGATCGGCCGCATCCTTTGAGTGCGAGGCGCTTCCACCGCGAGGACCGTTAACTCGGGTGGTGCCGAGTTAAAATGGTCGATATCCGACCTGAAAAGCATCCCGAAACCATTGTACATAGTGCGATCCTCGTCTTTCGACCGTAAGTTCTCTTATTTCTTCGGTATCGGCGCCATAGCGAGTTCAGAATGTCTAAGCTAGGCTAGCATTACAGTTGGGAGTTTGTGGTCAGGGGGGGGGGCAGTTTATATTAATCTGCAGATTGTAAAAGATAACGCTGACTGCCTTTATGTGCGTGTGTTTGGACTTTGTTGTCTAAAACAAGCTTCTGAAACAAGCAAACGCTGTCATTTTATTCCCTGTTGTGTTTAAGGTAGCCGGGTTGTTGACAGTAGATGCTAACGTAGCTGACTACGTTAGCACGAATTGTTGGCTCTGTGCCTGATGCAGCTCTTCACCGCTACACGGCACGTACGCTGCTACAGCTACATCACCAAGTCAGCAAACGTTTCACGTCAACAAAACAAAAGTGGTTCATGTGGGTTGACTGTAATATTTCGAGCTGCAACGTATTAACCAGTCTAGTTAGCGAAGTGTTGCAGTTTTTTTTTTTAGCGGCGTAGCTGGGAGACGGAGGGGTTACAGAGCTCATTGCGTACCACAATAAATGCAGCACTCACTCATCCATACTGTTGGTAGGGCCGGTGTGTCAGTTGAGGAAGTAATTGTTTAAAACTACCCTGTGGCTCTCTGTCAATGGTTTAAGTCAGATCAAAATACAGCGGTAGACGGACGCGTTATATAAGATAGGATTCTGCGAAGTGATCTCTCTTCTGTGTGGCCAGTCGTTGTCGCGGTGAATCTACTGTTATGTAAGATATCAGGGTCCTGTCCCCGGCTGCAGGGATTATTAATAAATGGAAACTTTGAAATAGTCTCTTGCAATATAAAGTAATGTGAGACTTTGTGTGTTTAATTTCCACGTGGTAAGTTTGAGGTTTCACGATCATCCTTCTGAAGAAAAACACGTGATGAACTACTGAGACTCGATTTTCATTTACGTCTTTCATCTAACGACCCCCCCCCAAGCTACATATACCCAGCTAATCATTTTTTGAAAACACCTGAGAAGAAAATAATAACAGTTTACTCGGATTTCTATGGAGTAAACTTTCAAGAGTTATTTTATCACTTATATCATGTGATATTGAGATGATATGATTACAAATGTTTGCCTTACATTAAGTTCGATTTAATTAGTTCTAGAAAGAAAAGAAAAACTTTTTTCCCCACCTCTTAATTGGCACCAATTAATCAGATGGTAGCTTAGAACCTAAGCAGCCCTGTCCACATTGTGACATTACACACCAAGAAATAACTTCAATGTTTCCTGCAGGAGCTATACATACCCTGTATGTGTCCCCCGCTGCTCTGATTGTGAAAGGCCTTTGCAGTACTGCAATCTTACAAATCATTGAGCATGACAGTTTTATATCAACAATGGTTTTTCCAAGATTTTTGTATCCATATGATCAAGTCAGCATCTCCCTGATGATGAAAGCTTTTGAGGATGAATGTCTTTCAAATAACTGAAATTTATTTGACGTCTTTGCTTTTTTTTGTCAGACATTGTACAATTCTTGGATATTAGTCTTGCTTTATTTAACATTGGGTTCTAAACTAAAGCAGAATGTTGCACAATCTGTGAAAGATGAAATATAAACAACGCACCCCTAGTGGTAAACCATGTGTGTATACTGTTAGTCAGTGCTGTAAACCATTATAAATATCTGAATGAATGATTTCTGAGGTGAATAGAATAGTGTGGAAAAACTGAGGAGCCATGTTTAAAATATGCAGATTATGCAAGTATGCCTATTTTTTTTTAGCTGTTCTTGTGCTATAAAGCTTTTCCATGATGAACTGAACTGTACACTTGAATCTCTTCTTTGGAACTGTAACATCTCTATGGTATTGCTTTGGAATCTTTACAGTTTCATTCTTTTCCACACAAGCTATTTTCCCAGGATTGTGTTTCTTGCATCACTTAATGATGCCCTGGCAGGCACAAGTTAATGAAGGGAGGAGCTCGGTATACAAACAAACTAAGTTGTATTGGTAGTAGGGTTTGACTTTATTGACTGATCCACCCTGCACAAGCACACAAAACCCAGAGCAAGCGGCACGACACTGGTTACAGCAAAACCTTGAACCTCAAAATCTAAAACTAGATAACTTGATATCTGATAGTAATGGTTTTATCTGAACAGGGAATACCCCCTGCATTCCCTTTTCATGTGTAGTTTAAACAAGACCTAATTGTATTTCCCGGTAAAACTGTGTATGTCATTTTTTCCACCTCCTTAGCACGAATCACTGCAGTTTTTCAGTGTCATTACTTTTGGCAGGAAACTAGTCCTCATACTGGTACACATCGGCACTGGACCAACATGTTATCATTGTGAATGGTCATAATGTGAATAGGTTTAGGCTCAAACTACCCGGGTTTGGTTTGGGTGTGCTTTTTACGCTATCTAAACAACACGTGGGTTACATAATGCACTTATGAACACTTATTAAATGAGTTTTTGAATTGTGACAGAACATATGTCAACATGGCCTTTTGGTTTCATGTGGCAACAGAACTCCAGTGTCAAAAGTAAAATGATTTTTATTTGCCCCGCCCTTACCAACTTCCAAAACTGTCTTAATTGTTTCATACATTGTTTTTTTGCTGAAAGTAGTTTTTCTCACATTACTTTACCTTTCACCATTACACCACTTTTAGAAAAAACTTGATAAATGTTGTGAACAGAATTTAAACTGGGTACCAGTGGAGTCTTAAAAGTCTTTACATTTGAAATTGTCAAATTAAGGCCTTAAAGTCTTGAATTTGGTTTGAATGGTCTTCAATTTAGTGTATTTTCTTCTGGTCATCCGTAGGAATACATTAATACTGTGACATCATAAATAACTTTCATATGTCTAAAGTGTTATATGTCCATGTAGTTTCATTGCATGATGCTCATGATGTGTGTTAGCGCCAATCAGCTGTCCGAAAAAAAAACCGAAACATCCCTGCTACTAACAAGCTAACTTTAGCTTCTCAATGGAAACCTGTTGGTCCGTCTTTACTGCCGTGAGTTGTGCCTGTGGGGAGTTGTTTTTTATTTATTTCTAATGTATCATACAATCGCATAACTCAGCAAGTAAGCTAGCTGGAAAACTGTCCTGTGAACTAACTTTTAATGGTCATTACGTTTTAAAAGATGACTCAGTCACCGTCCACAGAGTGAAGTAGCAGCATCTGCAAGCAGTGATCCTCAGACATTTGTTTCAGGTTTATGAATGTTAAGGCCGATGAGAAGCCAGTGCAGCCTGAAACAGATGTTGCAGCCTGCTCACAGCACAGAAATACGAAAGAACTGATTTGAATGGATAGGGAGGGATAGGGAGGAAAGGGAATATATCCTATTAATAGATCGATTTGTGGATTTTATGAATCAATATCAGATCATTCCAAGAAAATCTTTAATTTAAATTCAGACTACTGTACAGCGCACTATCCAAAGGCATGAAATACTTATATGGAATGTACTTAGGCTTATTTATGTGCTCATGTCTGATTTCAGCAGAGCGAGAGTGTCTGTGTTTCTCTGTCCTGATGAATGTCTCTGCTTTGCCCGTGTGTTACTAGGGCCTGTTTTTCGTCTGACACGTCTTTACGACTGACACATCTCCTTTATGGTTTGTCTCAGAAGCAGTGCTATGGTATACATTTTGGCTGAGCCTCTTAGCTGAAGAATTTACAACTGTTTCCTTTTCCTATACCATATTCTATTTCTCTGAAACATTTATGATACAGAGACTGCTTTTGTTTCCCCGCTGACTTTTAATATTTGAATTGACATGCGCACTCATGTGATGTAAAGCATGCTGCTCTTATATAAAAAAAACTAACTCTCAACGAGAGAGAGACAGCGGCCCACTGCACGGTCTGTTTATGAGCATGTCACAACAGAGAGAGTTTGTTGTGCTTTTTAAACAATATATGGGTGACCACAGTATGCTGGACCTTCATGCACTAGTATCTGCCTTTCTGTGTTTTCGACTCTTATCAGTCTCGGCCCTCGGGAAATGTTTTTGCAGCTATAGCATGAAATCGGACGTGGCTCTCTCAGCAGAGCCAGTGTCAGTCACTGAGGTTGAGATCGATGAAGGAAAGATTGTAATCCTTGAGAAGTTTTCTGACTTCTACCTGACTGATAAAAGAGTCCCTCTCTGTCCCCCCTGTGGTAGCCCCCTCTGTCCATTAACAGAGCCCCCTGTCCCCCCTGCTGTTGGCCAAAGTAGGAAGTGCTTGCGCACAAGTTCAACAAACGGAAGCGAATCCAGATTTTTTTGACCGGGGTGGTTCAGCACCTACTTCTATGGGGTGGCAAGAAGTTTGTGTACATACACAAAAAAGGCTCATCATTTGTTTTATATTTTAACAAATGTCATTATTTACCAAAAGTAACGGATACAAATATTAATTGTTTAGTTGAAGTTCAAATTAGTTCCCTGCTCGTGCTATTTTAATTTGATTGCAGTAAGTAGGAGTCTCCAGCAGGTGTTGGGCATCCCTTCAACATGGTAAATAATTTACATTAAACAGTCTAATGCACTTTAAGTATGGTAATTAATATAGGCCGCTTAGTAATAAGACAAGATAAGATTATCCTCTTTAAGTCCCACAATAGGGGGATTTGTATCATTAGAGCAGTAAAGGCAAAACTACAGTAAAAGTTGAGATAAAGGGGAAAAAAAAGGAGAAAGACAAGAAAACATGTTTAAAAAATGGGATAATAAAAAAGGTAATTGTTTATTTCAGAAACATGTCATATTTTCTCTTCTGTGTATTACTATTGCTCTTAACTAAAGCAAGAGATTTCATGAAAAAAATGGCCAACCATGCAAAGTTTCCTATCCGATTACTCAATTAATAGCCAGAAGAATCGATTGATTACTCCAATAATCAAGAATCTGTTGCCCTAGTACACACTGCAGTATTCATAAAACATTCAGGTCAGTACAATGAAATAAAAACAGTGTCTAGTAGTGCAGATAAAGAATTTAGGTAATGGGATCCCTTAGATTTAATGTGAACCAAGCTCTCACATTCACTGTCTGACTGACTGACTGACTGGCTGTCTGTTTGGTCACACTGATGAGTCTACTAGAGAAAGAAAAGCATGGAGGAACAGCAGGTAGAGTTACAGAAGTTGGTGCAAAGGACTGTTAACAGGTTTTTGGTAAGAGCAGTTTAATGGCTGAATTACAGGCTGTTCTTTTTCTGGTTTACTTGTCTTTGGCGCCGCCCCCCCAAAGAGGTTTTACCCAGTGCCAAAGGAAAATCACCATCGCCAAAAGAAAAAAAGGACGATTCAAATTGCAAATCAAATCCTCCCTGAATGTATGTTAAAAATATCAATACATCAAACGACTGTTGAACAAGGAGAACATAAACTTAAATACGACGTCTCTGACTTCTAGTAGTCATCTCCCCTCTCATCCATTTACACATGCGGCTTGCGCTGGATCGTTTCTTTTGACTGGGTCCGGACGCTACGATCCCCCCCCCCATTCAATATTTAAAGCCTTAGCCTCGACTATAAAACAGGTTATAAGATAGATGTTATGCACCACACTTGTCATCATTAGAATGAGAATTTAAACACCACACATCTGCTGAATGCAGGAACATAGTGGCTGTTGCTGGGCAGTTTAAATATATGCAGAGTTGCCTTTTTCCCTCATTTGTTGTTCTCATCTTTTTTTATAACTGCTGCATATCTCAACTGCATACCGAATAAATCATGATCTTCATTTTGTGCATTGTCTCTCCTTTTCTGCAGTGTTAACATCCCGTCTTAGTGGTCAGTTCTGCCTGCTCATCAGAGGCTAAGCTGAGGCCATGGCAGTGAAGGACCGTGTCGAGGCGGTCCTAAATGTGGGTCTGCGAGTTCCCAGCATCATGCTGCTGGATGTCCTGTACCGCTGGGACGTCAGCTCCTTCTTCCAGAAGATCCAGCGCTCCAGCCTCTCAAACAACCCCCTGTTTCAGTACAAATACCTGGCTCTCTACCTTCACTACGTAGGTCAGTATGGTATCACACACACACAAACACACTGGTGGTGGGGGGTAAACTGGTATCAGTAGTGACACTGGTATTACGTTCTGCAACAAGGATTTTTGCCATACCTTTATTAAAACTTGGTAACTACACTGATTCAGTGAAAAAGCTACAAGTGAACGTAGATTGACGCATTAAAGCATCTTTCTCTGGTCTCATGCTCAGAAATGAGAGTATGGCATTGCAGGCTTGTGTGAGGGGGGGAAGGCGATGGTAGTATATCAACATGCATTCGTATGTATAATACCATTACCGCAAATAGAATACAGGGTTATAATGACTATCTCTAACACACACACACACACACACACACACACACACACACACACACACACACACACACACACACACACACACACACACACACACACACACACACACACCAGGACAATCTGCCCTGGAAATCTTCCTGAGTTGCTCTTTCATTGATGTTCCATTTTGCTGCTCTGAGAATGTAGATTTACCCTGTGTGTGTTTTTTTTTTTTTTATACGTCTGTGTTTGTGAGTGTGTGCTGTCAGACTTGGCTACAGTCGGTTAATGAACTCAAAGGCTTGGTATGTGCTGATGAGTGGACAGACTGAATAAACTGAGAGAAAGGCCCTTCAACTAAACTAACTGTTGCTATGCACTGAACCCGAAGAGTGTATTTTTAGACTTTGTTTGAGGTAGTAGTAGCCTGTTCCTCAGTAAACCTACTGTCAGCAATGACTGTTTGATTGACTGTCAAAAGTAGCTCCACGCTACAACATAAGGAATATGTGACACACACACACACACAGTCACACGAGCGCACAGTAAGAAGATGGTTTACAGTATGTGACTGAAATCAGTTTGTGGTCAACACAAATGAAATAAAGATGTTTTTTAGTAGTGTATATCTTATCACTTGTCTATACTTGATGCTGTGATGATTTTTAATGGTCATCTATGGGATCTGTGTGTGTGTGTGTTTTTGTGTTTGCCTGGGTGAATTCTTTGCAGGTTACATTCTGAGCTTGGTGCTCCTGACTCTGCCTCGTCAACACCTGGTTAAGCTCTACCTGTACGTCCTGACGGCTTTGTTGCTGTACGCTGGTCACCAAGTTTCAAGGTACACACAGATTTCCAGAGTTGAAATTTGTTGTTGGCATTAAATTCAAAATGGGCATGTCATTTTCTAAATGGAATACAATTTCTCAGTTTTAACATTTGATGTTGTCTTTATGCTATTTGAAATTAAATTAGGGGTTCCCTGTTTTGCGAATCATCACATTCTGTTTGTATTTACATTTTACAAAACTTTCACCATAACTGGGGTTGTCCTTCCAGTAAGGGTCACATTCTGTCGGCTGTATTAAAGCCTGATTTGTAAACATTGCTAGTTTGCAAGGGTGCTATAGACATTCACTGTACAGTATAACATGTTCTGATGAGTTAAAGGTTAGTGGTATGTATTCATTCATGATCAGACCTGTTAACGGAGCCTTTTGACTTCTCTTTTTCCAGGGATTATGTCCGCAGTGAACTGGAGTCTGGCCATGAAGGACCTGTCTACCTAGAACCTCTTTCCATGAACAGATTCACCACTGCACTCATAGGTATGAAATAACACATGAATGCTTGGAGACACTCTTGTAGTATACATGACGGGGAATGATAACATCTAGCACAAACCCAAACATAGACAGATGAATTTTCCGATTTGACATGTCACGCGGGACTTTAACCCGGGTCGCCCACTTGGAAGACTATAGCCTGCGTACATGCAGCGTGACCTAACTGCTAGACCACTAGTCCCTCTTCAATTTCATTGTTGCACGTGGACCCTGGTTACTTTCAGTATGACATAATATTTGGTGTCGGACTAAGTTGTAGCTTGAGTCTTGTTTACAGAATAAATCCATCCTCTGTTTACAGAAAAAACACTTCTCTCTTACTAGAATTGTAGCTCTTACATGTGTCGGTGTCTCAAACTTTCTGCAGAACAGAATCTTTGGTTTCATAGCCTGAGAAAGTAAAAATGATACGGATACAGTGATAAAGACAAACTGCTTTATCACGGGGGGGGGGGGATTAAAGCTTGTAAATATAAACATGGTCTCTCAAATTGACATCTTTTTGTTTTGTAGCTGACTTAGTTCATTTTTATACGGCTCTTAATATTTTCATTAAGTTTTTATTTTCAGCTCTAAAATAGATAAAAATATCACATTGTTTACAGTGTGCAGATTCATATATGCATATGTGACGTTTTAGGCATGTTCCTTCTGTTCTGTCCCCTCATTTGATCTTTTTTTGTCTTTTAGGTCAGCTGGTGGTGTGTACGCTGTGTTCCTGTGTGATGCAGACCAAGAGGATTTGGCTCTTTTCTGCTCACCTCCTCCCTCTGGTTGCCAGACTGTGTCTGGTCCCACTGGAGACCATCGTCTTCATCAATAAATTCTCCATGATCTTCACAGGCCTGGAGGTCATTTACTTCCTGGCTTCTAACTTGTTGGTACCATACAACCTGGCAAAGACTGCCTACAGGGAGCTGGCTCAGGTGAAGAAAAATAGCTATGTGGCCTGATGTTTCATGTTTTACTCAAAATGTATTAGTAGATTTTGAATAAAGTAGTCCCGTTGTATTTCTTATCCCTTTCTTTTCTCTGTGCCAATGACCTTGATCTCCTCTCCGCCTCTATCTCGCTCTCTGTCCTCAGGTGGTGGAAGTGTACGGACTGCTAGCTCTGGGTATGTCTCTATGGAACCAGCTAGTCCTCCCTGTTCTCTTCATGTGTTTCTGGCTGCTGCTGTTTGCGCTGCAGATCTACTCCTACTTCAGCACCAGAGACCAGCCTACCTCACGGGAGAGGCTACTTTTCCTCTTTCTGACCAGGTAAGTCTGAAGAAGCATGGGACATCACACACTGTACATCACACACTCTTTAGCCTGCATTTGTTTACTGATCACCATGGATATTTTGTAAAGGGTGAGCCCTGCACAAAACAGTTTGAAAAACCACACACTAAACTACCTTATACAGTCCAGTATGTGGCGTTAAACTGTGATGTAGTATGGGTACAGTGTCTTTTATCAAAATGAACAAAATCATGTAGGATAGAAAACAGAAACACACTGTACACTAGTAGTAAAATGTAAAGGAAAGGAAGACATTGTATGATATGTTCATGGATCAATGTATTTATCTAAAATAAGTCATTCCTGGCTGGATTTAATATCTGTAGCAAACCCGTCCAGTAATAGTGGCGATTACAAAAATGTGCTGAATGGACTACATGGCCCACTCATTACCTACCTATCAAGGGGTTTGTTGATGGTTTGTAGACTCCTGCTCTCAGAATAAATCAGCCTACTGAGTATATTTTAGGTCTCCTGGTCTGATCTAAGGATGATTATTTTTAAAAGACTTTTTGACAAATTATGACAGTAGGGGCTTTAATTGTTCTTTAACATCTGCTACTAAGACTAATGGCTCGGTAAAAGAACTGCAGGAAGTCTAATAGAATTGGTTCCCCTTTCCTACTAAACAAAGTGGCTTACAAACATGACAGTAGTTGACATTTGTGAGTTACAAGCTACACAGCTAATAGCATCATAGCAGCAGTTATGGTGGAGTTAGATTAAAAAGAAAAAACTTCTCTTTTTTTGTTTGTTTGTGTCTTATCTCTTTCTTCTTTTTGCTCCACCTCCCTCCTGGTCCTCAGTATTGCAGAATGTTGCAGCACACCGTACTCCCTGCTCGGTCTGGTTTTCACCGTCTCCTTTATTGCTCTGGGAGTTCTCACACTCTGCAAGTTCTACCTGCAAGGTTACAGAGCCTTTATGAATGACAACACAATGCACAGGTTAGAACAAGTGTATATTGCGTGTGTGTTTGTGTGTTTTCAAGATGTCTGTTGGTTTGTAGCTACATTTTGAATCACGTTTGTTTCCTGTCTCTCTCTGTCTGTGCAGAGGGATGACAGAAGGCATCACCCTGCTGATCCTCGCTGTTCAGACCGGCCTGATCGAGCTTCAGGTCATCCACCGAGCCTTCCTCCTCTCCATCATCCTCTTCATTGTTGTTGCTTCCATCCTGCAGTCCATGCTGGAGATAGCTGACCCCATAGTCCTGGCCTTGGGAGCATCCAGAGACAAGTAAGAAGTTGAATTTTTACGTCCCTAAGCATTTAAAAATTGATTGATCTTAAACAATAAGGTACCACATGTCTATTAAAACAGATTTCCGTAAAGAAAAATGCCAAGTGAAAACTCTCACTGTGAATTAAAAATTTGGCAACACATTTAAAGGTCAAAACTAGTTGACATTTTTGTGTTATTCCTCAACGTGTTAGGGACACTTTGGAAGACACTAAAGTTGCTAATGGTCTTCTCTTTGGTTCCTGCTCTGTGTGTCCTGTAGGAGTTTGTGGAAGCACTTCAGAGCTGTGTCTCTGTGTCTGTTCCTGCTGATCTTTCCAGCCTACATGGCCTACATGATCTGTCAGTTCTTTCACATGGACTTCTGGCTTCTCATCATCATCTCCTCCTCCATCCTCACATCACTGCAGGTAACACACAAGCAGACAGCAGTTTAAACGCCAAACTGTATTTCACACAGTACCAAGAAAAATTCACTGAGGATACTTCGGCATCTGCACCTTGTTTTATGAATTAAGTTAGACCAAAATGCTAACACACTTTCCTCAAACATCCCCAGGTTCTTGGCACTCTGCTGATCTATGTGCTGTTCATGGTGGAAGAGTTTCGTAAGGCTCCAGTGGAGAACATGGATGAAGTTATTTACTGTGTCAACGGTACCTACAGATTGCTGGAGTTTCTGGTAGGTGTAACACATGTACACACAGTATCATAATGGCACACAAAAAAAAAGTGGCATCATTGACATACAAAATGAAGTCATCTAAGCATAACTGTTTCTGATTTCCCCCCCCTGCCAGGTAGCGGTGTGTGTGGTGTGCTATGGTGTGTCGGAGACTGTATTCGGGGAGTGGAGTGTGATGGGCAGCACCATCATCCTGGTCCACTCGTACTACAACGTGTGGCTCAGAGCACAGCTGGGCTGGCAAAGCTTCCTCCTCAGGAGAGATGCTGTAAACAAGATCAAAAGCCTCCCCACGGCTAGCAATACACAGCTGGAGCAGTACAACGACATCTGCGCTATCTGCTACCAGGTATGGGCTAGGTTTGTGTGGTTGTGTTTAATCATAGAGAGGACATGGAAAAGAAGTCATCTCAAGCTGTATTTTTTTTCTAATTCTTTTCAGGACATGAACAGTGCTGTGATCACTCCCTGTAGTCATTTCTTCCACGCTGGCTGTCTGAAGAAATGGCTTTATGTCCAGGAGACATGTCCCCTCTGTCACTCTCAGCTCAAGAGCCAATCACCAACCACCACAGTCCCCAACCAAGACACCCCTGCAGCCAATCAGAGCCCTGCAGGGCAAGAAGAAACCAAAAAAGAGCAAAACGGTGGTGCTTCTACAGACAATGGGAAAGAGGAGAAGGAGGGAGATAATGGACCTGCTATGTCAGATAGAGAAACCTCCTCCTCCTCCTCCTCCTCTGGTGACACCACTGCTCCCCCCACACGCTCGACACTCCAGCAACACCATCTTGTTCTTCATCTTCTCCTCTTCCCCCACTTGTGACTGAATCTGAGTCTCCCGCAGATGATCCATCTCCGTCTTCCTCCTTCTCCTCTTCCTCTGACACTTTGGGCATGCACCCCTCGGTCTGTCTCCACTCGTCCTCGCATTCCTCAATCCAGGAAGATGCGACCCTTGCTGAACCTGACCCCGCCCCTCAGCTACAACGAGGCTTCCTACTGGACAGCAAGGAGTTGTCTACCGTTCCATCATCACAGCCTGAACAGCCCTCCTCCTCTTTTGAGGGACAGTCTCCCCTGCCATGCAGCCTCTGAGCCCCATCACAACACACAAGGACCAACATGCATGCGCATAGATACACAATCTGAACACTCCATATGCCAAAATTCTGCCTATATTCTACAGGTTGAGCTATTGGCTATCTCATGTCTAAAGTTTGACAAGAACCCTCCATACCCAGTTGAAGAGAAGAATATCAGTCATATTTAGTCAGAACTAAAAATCTTTTTTTTTCATTGACCCTTATCCTTTTCCGTTCAATTATGTCATGATGGTGGGCAAAACTTTTTCCACCTTTCAACACTTTTATTTTCTGTTTTGGGAGAAAGTGGTAATGTCATCTCAAAATGAATTGGTACTTTTCATCATTTCCACAAAATGTGAAGTCCTGAAGTGTCACTTCACTTATTTTTCTTGCTTCATAGATTTAGACTTTAATATAAGACCTAAAGCTCTTCTCATTTCAATCCCATATGCCTCACCTCATGGTGGCTCCCATCCTGACTTTTCCTTTTTTTTTTCTTCACTCTAATCGCTGAACATTTCAGTGTTCAGGTGTTCTCTGTAGTCCTGTCTGTAATGAGACACGGCTCAGAGTTGTTGAGAGCTTGGGAGACACGTTATTACTTACGGTTACAATTCAAAAAGGTGACAAAGTCTTAACATTTCATATAGAATCAACAAACTTGTACAGTGGTTTTGATGAAGACTTCCAGTCTTCACTGTTGGGTGACAGTAGTTTTGTGTGCAAGTGAAAACACAAAGACTGAATGTTTCATGTGGTCATCACATGACCTGAAGATTTTCTAGTGTGGTATAGTTAAATGTGACAGTGTGAACAATGGTCAACTTTCATTTCATGTTTTATGCATTCTCTGGCATATAATCCCATATTTGAATCAAATTTGTTGGCTGGTCCCAGCAAAAAAAAAAAGTTCTCCTCATCGCCAAACTTTTGTATTACTGTTAAAGAGATCTTTATTGAACACTACGCAGTGCCGACAGACGGAGAGAGAGGAAAGGGGATGAACATGAAACAAAGGCCACTGTTTTTTTTTTTCTTAAAACGTGAGCTTTTGAGTATTGGAAGTGTAAAGTATTCCAGTGCAGGCATGGTGCCATAAACTTTGTTGTCGGACGCTCAACGGTACTCTTACTCAATCATCTTCTGATATACAAACGCATTGGCTCTGCCCTCCATCCTATATATGACCTCACTGCATCCAGCTCTGCATTGGCCAATCAAAACAAAAGCCCCATGTCATTTCTAGGACCATCATTCTCCTCCCTTTGCTGGACAGGCATGAAGTGAAATGTTTCTACCAGCAGATTAAGCCGTATGATAGGAAAGTCATTTTTTTATTACCATACGTTAACACATGCACACACTTAGCCAGCTCCTGTACTCAGCAAAAAGGGGGGGAAGTTCTTTGGATTGAATTGAAAGACTACAATTTGTGAAAATGCCTGAGAGTCCTGATGCACGCTTGCACGCTGCCACTGTTACATTGCATTTCTACGTTTGTCCCCACTGTGCTTTAAACCCCCTCCCCCACCCCGACCCCCGTGTCTCATTTTTGACATATGCCTTTTTTTTTTTTTCTTTTGCACTAATGTCATTTCTACTAGCAACGCTCCAAAGCTGTTCTGAGGCTGTCAGCAACCAAATACCCTCTGATACATTTGTGTACTAGGACACAGCCCATTCTGTTTGTGTGTAATGTATAGAAATGTTGCTCTCTATGACATCTATATTAAACCAGGGGAGTGTTGTTATAGAATGAAGTTCAGGACTAGATTTCACCAAAGCTTCTCAGCAGTTCAATGTTCTTTGTTAATTTTACATGTTTGTGAAATAAGACACACTTCAAACTGAGAGGTTTTGGAGAAAAAGCCTTCTGATCTTTGAGACCAGCCAGTGTTACAGCTTCTCCTGCGTGTATGACGCGTCCTCAAGCTGGTGTGATCACTCTGGTGCCCTCTACTGATAGGAGTGGGATCAGCATGGCGCTGATGAAGCAGGAGAAGCCCAAGTTAACCCTCGACAGTATTATTACTACCACTATTACTAAAGGTCTTATTACTATGAATGAATTCTTTGTTTTCATATAAAGCATTGGCTTCAGGGCTGAAAATGAATACATTATTAATGTAGGATCAAACCTGAGCAATGTTGTGTTTATTTTATTTTTTAAAGATGAAATGTAGAGTTTGATGTATTTTGCACACGTTCCTGTGAAAGATTAACATAAGGACTTTTCCGTATTCTTGAATGACATTTTATCATGAGCTCCATTCCTCATAAACTTCCATTTACTTCAAGCACTTGAAGTGGTTACAAACATTTCAACATCTTAAACAAACCTTTGTTTTCATCTTGGAGCATTGAACTGTCACATACTCGATGAGGCGATAGCTGTCATTGGAAACTGAATGTGACTGTGCATTGCAGTATTCAACTGTCAGAGAAGTCTGTCAGCTGTTGATTCCAGATGTATTTTTTTTTTTTTTCTTTATGTTTGAGAAGCAAGCAGATATGTTTATGGAATCTCTAGCTGCTACAGAGCGCTCTCTGACAACGTGCGTTTTTTCCAAATGCTTTTTTTTAAGAGTGTTTTGGAAGAAAATAATACAGTACTGCTGCCCCATACTGTTTCCTCTGATGTTAGTTGATCATGTTCAGGGCTCTTCTTTCTCAGATTGCCTACAGATCTTGTTCTTTTTTTATTTACTTGTCTGGTTAAGTTCCCCCCCACACACACACACACACACACACATGATTAGGACATTATCTATACAACCTGACTCTGAATGCCAGTTAATTTCTGTTCAAATGCATCCAGGTTGGTTTTGGACTTTATATGCCTGGCATTGCCTTGGTTCTTTTACAAAAAAATGAATGTCAGTAATAAATGAACCATCCACTCTGGACTCTGCTTTGATATCATCTTTTATGAATTGTGACTTAAATTTATTTCTTATAATAAATATGATGAAATAGTAGTTTTGTTTCCAGTGTTAGCACCAGTGTTTATGTGAGTCTTTAGTCTGTTACTTAAAAGATGGCTTTAAATTGAATACAGTTATTATGGATCATTTTATAAAAGATTAATAGTGACAAATAATATTTTTGATATATGTTCATTTAAAGAAGTTGAAATGACATTGGAGTGGTGGCCTAGTATAGGGACCTCTAGCAATGTGGTTGCACCAGTTTCAGTGTTGGAGAATCGACGGTGGTCGAGAAACTCTTAAGAGGCCCGCTCTATAAGGCCTGTGTTTAGTTGTTAATTGTGTTTGACAGCAAATTGGTACAATATCTCGTAGAGGATATTCAGACAATCACAGTAAAATAATAGTAAACCTAAATGAAGACTGTTTTTTTTTTTTTTAAGAAAATAATTCCTACTATCAGATTCAACTCTAATTGAAGCAACAATAGAATCAGTCATTTATACATATTATGAGATATTCATGGTGCATGGGAGAATAATGAAACTGTTGAGAGTTTCATCATTGATTTGTCTTCTAAGAAAATAAATGTATCATCTGTGAATTTAGGCATACCTGTCGAATGCCTTGTAGTACCTTGAACCTATAGAGTTCATTCCTGGGGTCAGGGAAACACAGCTGCAAAAAAATACAATGCTTCCAACAAGAAGGGGTTTTTAATTATGTCAAAGGCCTTATTAAAATCTATAAATAACACATAGCGCTCTCCTCTCTGTGCTAATAGAATCTTTATAATGAACATATCTATACCTCTTATTAAAGCTGACTGACATTGTTTCTTTAAACCCTCATCTAAATGATTGGAATAAGCTAACAATTTATAATCATTACATAGAAGGGGTATCAGTCCCCAATTGTCTAGTTTATCCTTGTAAGGTTTGGGGATTATAGAGACAATTCCATGTTTCAAAGTAGGACACAGGTGTCCTGCCGAGAGCCAATGGGCTTTCATTCTATTAAGGCATTATAAAACGTCTTTCTGATGTCTTCAAATACAGAGTATAAAATTTGACTGTTAACCCATCCAATCCTGGTGAGTTTCCCTTAAACATGGGCAAGGTTGCACAAAGTCTTCGTTCTGAGCTTACTCCATTAGTTGCTTGAGTTTGTCAGCCATTATTTTATTAGGCTATGTTACATATTGTCTAATAAAGAAAAGATTAGGGTTTGAACCACTATAAGAATCGTATTTCTTCACTTACTTCACCTTGTTTGTTGTTTTGAACACCATTAATAATTGACTTCTGAATGTTGGCTCTGGTTTGTCCTGTGTCTAGTTTGACTCTTTGGAAAAATGGCTGATGCGTGGATGTGCGCCCCAACAGCCCATGTCATAAAAAACGGCCCTTTGACGGTAAACAAACTACAGTGAACCTTATCCTGAGATAATTATAAACTGTTAAACGCACATTTTGGAAAGTTGTATTTCATGTCAGGCTAACTCTGCAAATGACATCCAACGATCTCAAACACTGGACCTTCAAGCTGCAGGGTTCAATCTTTACAGTCTATGGTGTCGGGTCACCTTTTAAAGCTTTCCTGCAGACATTTTTGAGAGACACACAAATATGCAAAGATGAGAATATCAAGTTTAAATTGAAATAAATATATATATTTGGTCATAATAGCCCCACTGAAGATTTCTGTAAATATGTGTGTTATATTTGACGGATAGGACACTAGATGGCGCTGTTGTGTTGGCTTTAAACTCAGTGGGAACTGATTCATTACAAACCACACACAAACGCACTCACACACACACACACACACACACACACACACACACACTCTCAGACGTACAGTAAACACACACGGGACTGTGTGCGTCGAGGTAATCTATGCTAGTGGAGAAAGTCGCTGTGAAAGACAGTAGCCTAAAACGTGGTTGAGCTCATTTGGCCCATGTTTCCGAATACATTCATTAATAGGCTCAACTTTAAAAAAAAAAAAAGAATAATAGCCTAACTTAAGCCACGTCTGACTACTTGGTGTTGAAAACTTAAACTACCTTTGAGATGAACATATTTAGAATCTGAAATGTTTAGGCCTATAGCCGACTGATCTGACATATTTAAGAAATCTCTTGTTTTTCATTAATCGATTGGTTTGAAGTTTTCTCAAATTTCAGACCTTTATTATTTCAAGAGATTAACTTGCGTGTCCTGTATTGATTTTAAACTCATTGCTGTTGACATTTTAATGGACTGTAACATGCAGAGATATATAGCCTATATTTTATATCACACTGGGATCGATACAAACACCAGCCCCTCTTAACAATCCTCCATCCATTCACATGTATCTTTTCTTACACGGCCTGATCTCTCTCTCTCTCTCTCTCTCTCTCTCTCTCTCTCCCTCTTCCTCTATAAGCAGGAAATTGGAGCATAAAAGACTCTTATTCTCCATAATCAAGGTCAAGAGCGTTTTTCAATCACCTTTGGGAATTAAACCCTGGAACAGCGCCAGTTGCTCCTGCCAATCATCCCCACAGCCGGCTGAATAATACAAAAGTTGTTGACCTTTTGGCACCTCAGCAGATCAATACGCTTCAGCTTTGTTTTATTATAAGAGTTCTCAGAATTATCTATTAATATTTTGTTTGGATTCCCCCTCTCGGCGGCGTGATAAATAGTTCCAAATAACAGATGGTGCTGCAGGGAGAGACAAAGCGGGCAAATCTGGTAGCAATTATCCTCAATTATGTTCATTGTTATTTTGAGCTAATTATTGTTATTGTCACTTTTGTTTGTGCGTCTTGCGGCGCTGAGCTGCAATAAGCGGGCCTGCAGAGGACAATGGGGAGCAGGGATCTGTTGTGACGATGAAATATGGCTTTCATAATTGAGCCTAACCACTTTGCTCTAAATAAAACTGAAATCTCAATGTGAATGCTGAGGGTTCATATCAGATTAACCAAATGTCTGCGACTAAATTAATCTAATAGGCTATTGGATCTATAGACTGATACACAAACATCAGTCATTTTCACGCCTTGCAGTAAAATCTAAATTTGTGTTGTACTGATGCCTGGATTTTATTCTCTTTATTTTTTATTTATTTAGCTTTATTATATTTCTTTGTAGAATTTATACAAAGTCTCAAATATTAACAGGCCTTTAATCAAGTTCTAATCCATGACTACAAAATTCACAAGGGTTTTTTTTTTTCATTGTTCTCTTTCCTTATTCAATATTGTCAAGGTACTTTGCGTAAAAATGATTAACAGTCGATGTATTATAAGATAATTAAGATGATATTGAAGCCGAGAAATGTCTGCCTTGCTGAAGCGCCATCCAGCCGTTTTTTTTTAATCCCAGCATCCTGAGCGCCAGTCTGCGGCTCTGCAGGAGCAAAAGTAAACTTTCCATGTCGATTTCCTTGTTGTGGTGCTCATATGAATTTTGTTCTCACATTGACAGAGACGAGACGTTATTTGACGAGTCATTTTAACAAGGACAGAGAGGGTTCCGTATAGCCGGACTGAACCCTCCAGGATGGGACAGAGAAGATGAGCTCCGAGTCCGCTGCTTGGAGCGGACCTGACTCCTCTGTCGTCTTTATTTGGGGGCGTCTCTTCTTATCTCCTCTCCTCCCGTCCTGTCCCCTCCCCTCTTTTTCCTCTCCATCCTAGCTCCCTCTCTCTCCCCCGGGGTGGGAGAAGCCCGTGTTTGGTTCTCAGAGAGAGAGAGAGAGAGAGAGAGAGAGAGAGGGAGAGACAGAGTCCTCTGGGAAGAGTCACAGAGCGTTTTTTCCTCAGAGAGGGAGCAGAGCGCCGAGAGGAAGCAGCGCTGCTCCGGACACCACAGAGACCCATCACGTCCCGGAGCACAAAGTTGAGGGAGGAAGAGAGAGAGCAAAGCGCGAAAAGAGGAAAAACGAAAAGTCAGAAAATTATGACATCTGATCCGGATGCGAGTTGATCTCTTTTTATTCTGTTTGACAGTTTGAACTGTGGATCTCTGCGGAGCGACTTTAAACACATCTTTCTGGGTCTGTTGGCGTCCTGCATTCTCCCTGAACGATTCTATCCGCCTTTAAAGAATTTTGAACCTTGGATTCTACTTTCCCGATATGATCTCCTCTCATTTTTAGGCACTTCCACTCCCCAGGACCATATTCAGAGGACTAAACAGATACCTGCTTGGTTTCTTGTGACGCGCATGCAGAGAGTGCAACCACGTTGCTTCTTTTAAATCGGACCTAAGGATCCAAAGGGGAGCAAGTGCACATCCAGTCGGGAGAAGACCGAGAGTCTACGGAGGTTTGTTCATGTTTGGGATCCAGGAGAGCATCCAGAGAAGCGGCAGCAGCCTGAAGGAGGAGCCGCTGGGAGGAATGAACACTGTCCGGAGCTGGATGCAGGGGGGCGGCGTGCTGGACGCCAACACAGCCGCCCAGAGGTGAGCTCTGCTCAGGGTGAAGGAAACAATCCGATTTTGTTTTGTCAGGACCCTGCAGAAGTCTTTAAGGTCCAGACGGAACTGCTGTCCGGGGGAGAAATCTGGATTGATTACTATGATAATTTATGTTTGAGGTCAGGATATAGAGCTCCAAAACATTTCAAATAGTCAGTATGATCTATAGATAACGAATTTGACTTTTAAAAACAGCACGTGTGCCATTTTAAGCACACGAAACGTGCGTCAAACTGACTGAGGTTAAATTGAATGAACTCAAAACACATTCAAAATGCTGATTCTTTGAGTGTAAGTGAGTAAAAATGATCAGTGTTTCCCCTTTCTAACCACACATGGTTGTATATTAGGAGATTTTCCCCTTTGGTTTACTAAGTGTGAGATAGCCTATTTAAAGGTGGAGAAACCATGACCTCCTGTCACAGACCAATCGTCAATAAAAGCCCCATTAAACTCTAACAAATTGAATTAATTAAAGAATGGATTAGAAACGACACCCTCGTGAAAATATAAGCTAACTAAGAAACAAATGTAGGCTATCTATTACCAAGTTAAAGAAATAAAATATGCATAGGCTGCTTTTTACAGATCATGATATTATTTGCTTCCACCTTCACAAAATCCTAATTCCCTCTGTCCTACACCATACCTAACACCGACTTGTCCTCGTCTGTGTGTCCGCAGTGGAGTGGGTCTGGCCCGGGCTCATTTTGAGAAGCAGCCGCCCTCAAACCTCCGCAAGTCCAACTTCTTCCACTTCGTCCTGGCGCTGTACGACCGGCAGGGCCAGCCGGTGGAGATCGAGAGGACCAACTTCGTGGACTTCATCGAGAAAGAAAAAGTGGGTGCACAAGAGATCATTTCAAATGTATATTTTCTAAGAGCCCGATTATTCTATTGTTGTCTGTTAATGCCGTGCTGTATTTCTATTACTGTCACAACTTAAACATCAGCAAAAACAATTAAATAAAAGATTCCCCTCATTTATTATAATTTTCTTTTTAGGCCTATTATTATCATTATTTTTTTACATTATTTTATTCTTATTCTTATGAAATACATAGGCCTACATCTGAAACAATTTTTACACAAACTGTTAACTCTAACAAATCTTCCTTTGATCATTTTTGTGAATGGTACAAATAATCAAACCTCATCGCGTATTGCGTCGGTCAAATACATTTAATTTACAGCTCATCACCACAACCACTTGTTTTATATAAACAGCGGCCGGCCCTCCTCATCAATTATGACTCCTTTTAAATGAGATAGGCCTACATAGCGGGACGATTTAGTGCTGGATTTATTCGCCCTGCAAACATAACCAGTGATTACAGAGAAATTAAAAAAGCCACAATAACATTATGATTGCACGTGGAGACGTTGTGTGCGCTGTGAACATTAATCATGTGTTTATTTATTGCCTGACCGCTGTGAATGATTGTATAAGTTTAAAGTGCAGAAAATGTACGTTTATCGATTTACCAAAAAATTCAATAAACCTGTGTGTGTGTGTGTGTGCGTGTGCGGGTGTTTGTGCGGGTGTGTGTGCGGGTGTGTGTGCGTGTATGTGTGTGTGTGTGTGTTAAGGAGTCGAGCGGAGAAAAGACCAATAACGGGATTCATTACCGGCTGCAGCTTCTGTACAGTAACGGTGAGTAAGGACTCACACAACCACACACACACACGCACGCACGCACACACACACACACACACACACACACACACACACACACACACACACACACACACACACACACACACTTATACAGATTTGACCACGTTAGTTTGATTGGCTGTTGCCTCCTGCAGTCATCAGAATTTACACTCAGGAAGCAGCTGATATTTTTTTTAAAATCATATTTAATGAGCAGAAACGTGGAGCGGTTTCTGCAACAGGCCGCCATACTTTTTTTTTACGTCATACAAACTGCACTGTTATATTTTCAAACTGTCATTTCACCAATTGCTGGGGAAAATGTCACAATTTGAGAGCAGCTGTTGCAGATGATTTGTACAAAAACTCATGGCGTCATCCCTGTCACTGTCCGTGAATGAGTTAGTCCAGACTGCAGCGGGCTGTGTGTGTGTGTGTGTGTGTGTGTGTGTGTGTGTGTGTGTGTGTGTCTGTTTGCATGTTGTAGTGGTGGCTATGGATTGTGGGTTTTTTCGGGCCTATCAGCAGGGGAACAACATAAACTGGCAGGAAACTCACAGCTGCAGCCTCTGAGGTTGAGACATGTGGGCATTCAATTTGTGAACTGCCATTATTGATTTTTATATCACTTGCATGTATGAGTGGATGTAGCAAAGCCTTTTTCGATGCTATTAACTGTAAGGTTTCAGGCATTAAACATCACACATTAAACCCTTTAATGGACGTCTAATGGGTTCACAGTTTTCTAGAACAGAGGGTCAGGGGTGTAAAAATAGACTGTGTCACATGTTGTATAATTACAAAGTCCTTTGTAATATCTCATCGAAACAGACTTGGCTCAGAATTACAACCTAAAAAAACAAAACGATGCTGAGAAAGTTTACTTTAATAATTCAAACTTATGGCTTCATTTTACGAAACCCAGACACACACTGGCCTCTCCTGAGGTGACCAAACCTTTGACTTGTGATCTTTTTAAATAAAGCTATCAATAAAGTAAATATAAATGTACAAACATGAAATCTAGAAAATAATAATTAACTATGTAAATGAAGATGCAGCTCTTATAGTCTTATAGTCTGTTTGCATGTTTGAGCAGCTGATTTGATAATGTGCTTGTGTTTTTTGGACCAATTCATATTTTTCAAGCTGAAAGAAATACAATTATTAACAAGATTTTACACAAAAAAGTTTTTCCCATACCATATATATCTAATTCCCCCATGGGAATTAATAAAGTGCTCTTTCTGTCTCTATGATTTATAGATGTGACCTCTTTAATTTAAAAGCTTCCTGACGTGCAGAACTGTAGTGTAAAAATCACATTTCTATCTTTACTGAAATTAGCATTTTTTAAACTATTTTGTATTCTGTTATGCTTTGTTAAAATCTTTGTGAATGTTTTTCTTGTCTTCTGCATTCAAACAGGCATCAGAACAGAACAGGACTTTTACGTTCGACTCATAGACTCCATGACTAAACAGGTAAACACACATTTTCACACACGTACACACACACACAAGCACGCACACACAATCTCTCTCTTTCTCATAGAGGTCTGTCACCTCTCCTGTTACCTCCCTGACAATGAGCTGCTCCACTGATCCGCCTGTACCCTGCCGCCTTCCTCTCTCTGCATGTACTTTCACACACAAAAACATTTATGTGTGTTGTGTGTGGGTGTGATCCTGTTGGTGGGTGTCTATGATGTGTGTCTGTGTATGCGTGGGTGGGTGGGGGCACACACACAGCGTATGGCTCCGGGCGTTCTCACATGCACTTCTTCTCTCGCTGTGATTAGAGCGAGGAGGCAGCGACGAACAGGGGCACAACGCTGCTACTGCTCACACAAGCAAGTGGAAAAGATATAACGGCACCTCTGGGATTTGGTCTGCCGAGCAGCAAGCGTTTTCTGATCAGATCCAATTTTTCTGTTAATTTTTTTGTGCTATTGTTGATATGACGCTTTATGGTAGAGAGAGAGAGAGAGAGTTAGAGAAGGAGAGGGAAGATCACGTTTAGTGTTTGTGCTTTATGTTTCTCAGGTAAACAATTAAGAGTGAGGGCTGATTTTGAATGTTTTGCACAAGAAACCGAGTTTTCCATCTTGTATGATTAACTGTGTGAAGTCTTGTGTGTGTGTGTGTGTGTGTGTGTGTGTGTGTGTGTGTGTGTGTGTGTGTTTGTCTGGTTTGTGTGTATATGATAGTTTGAGGAGCCAAGAAGCCATGCTATGATCTGAATATGTGCTAATGCGACTGCAGGCCCGGATAGAGTCTCACATTTCTGCTTCCACGCTGCACCACATGCTGCGTGTGTGTGTGTATTTGGCTGGCCTAAGGGACCACACTGTTTACTAGTAACACTGTTAAGCTACGGTGGGTGACAGCCAGCTACACACACATACACATTCACATGGAATAATGTGGACCCTGCAGTATAAATTGGAGAGAAAAAAGACAGATTTGGATTTGACCATGCACACACACACACACACACACACACATACGCACACACACTCACACTCAGTCACAAAAACAAAAGGCAATGGTTGCCACTGTCTAAGGAAAATTAAATCTTTGTTCACTCTTTCACCTACATAAGAGATAATTTCAATTTGTAAAGAGACAGTCATATTTCCTAAAGAGGATGTATGCAGGTGTGTGCTGCACCTGTGGACATCTTCCTGTGCTGGTCTGTACATGTGTGTGTAGTAGTTGATTTAGTAGGTGTGAGAGAGAGTTATCGGGAGAGAGGTATACATAATGGAATGGGATACAGTACAGGTATCTGTTGCTGATGTATATGCATTAGGCACTAAGGCAATGTTTAACATGGAGGAATAATCTGTGTGTGCGTGTGTGAGTGTGTGTGAATGTGTTACTCCCAGTGGTAAAGGAGTGGAACAGTAACAGGTGGTCAAACCAAAACAGTCGTGTGGTTTGCTTAGTTGGTGATGTCATGGTCGCTTTCTCTATCCACACACACACACACAAACACACAGTCAAACGCTCTCACACACACGCACGCACACACACACACGCACGCACACACACACACACACACACACACACACACACACACACACACACACACACAATCACAATCACAATCACTCCGGTCTAGGCTCCTGTTGTCTTTCTGAACAAGTTTGCATCAGTTCTCACTGAATATTACATTTTAAAAAAGAGGGGCTTCTGTACGTAGTTGAGCTGAATAGGAGAATGGTGATTCTATTTTTTGAAAGTTTTTTTTTGACATCAAAATACAAAACTGCATCTTTTTAATAAAGTATCAACAACATGAAGAATAACAATGTGAGGCTGATACGAACACTATGATCTCAAACTAAACACTTTAATACTGAATCTAATGAAATTGACTGACTTAACTGAGGAGTGATCAGAAGTGAGAGAGAAATTGTCAAGTTTTGAAATTGGGGATTTGGTGCCAATGAGGAGAACCTTGGTTGTGTCACTGTTTAATTTCAGGAAGTTGCAGGAGAACCAGGATTTGATTTCCTGTAGGCAACTAGAAAGGGAAGTAGACGGAAGGGAGGAGGTGGGTTTGGTGGACAGGTAGAGCTGGGAGTCATCCGCGTAGCAATGGATCTGGATGTAAAATTTACGGGAAAAATGGCACAGAGTAAGGAGATAGATGATGAACTGAAGGGGACCCAAGAGAGAACCCTGAGGAACACCAGTAGTGACTGGAAATGACTGGGATTTTAAGATTTTGAGTTGAATGAACTGAGTGTGACCAGATAGATAGGATGTAAACCATTGTAAGGGTGTGTCAATGATTCCACTGGAGGCTAGTCTATCAAGGAGTATGTTATGAGAGATGGTGTTGAAGGCCGCACTCAGATCAAGGAGGATGGTTAAAAGTCCGGAGTCAGCTGCCATGAGTAGGTTATTAATGAATTGCCACCATCTCAAAGGTTGTAAAGTTTTGAAGTAAGATACTAAGTGCAGAACAGACTGGGGTTGAAACAATAGTCTACCTTGTACCTGTTAGAAAGATGATCCCCCAAACTCCAAAGACAGGCCGAGGTAAGGATAAGAAAGGACACGTGTAATTTTTGTTATACACTCATTGCTGCACCTATAACCTTCATGGGTCATTGACAATATTCATGGGTCATGAACAATATTCTAATTCTATTAAGTGACAATAAATTCTCTTTGTAAAAAAAGAAAAAGAAAAGAAACCCATGACCATTTAAATAAGTATGAAAATGCTTTTTTTATTTATTTGTGTATTGTGTTGAACATATAACTGGGTCTTAAACTCATATCACTGACTGTTTATTTCACAGCTGCGATTTTGATTCTTCTGCCTACGCTGACGTTTGGTACCTAAAGCTGCCACCTCGGTCTGACATTCTGCTACTTCTGTGCTTCTACCTGTCTGCGTGTTTCTGTTCTGAGAGGGCCGCTGTATTTGAGTTGAACGTAGGAGGAGAAGGAGGAAGAACGCGCCTCCTATAATCTTCTGAAGCAGTTTTAGGCGAGTGGTTTATCACGACTCTGTCCCGTAGAATAAAGCGTCTGTCAATGCAGCCCCGTTGGATCACTCGCTTGCTCGTCGACCTGACACTAACACAGGAGGAAGTGTGTTCCCTCGCTTAACGGTTCCTTGTTTACACGCCGCGCATGTCACGCTACTTCAAAGGTGGAGGAGCGAGTGGTGGAGTTGCTGCATGAAAGGCCTGGTGAGGAGGAGAGAGGGAGGAGACAGAGGAGGGAAAAAAAAGCACATGGAAGATAAGAGCAGAGCAGGAGAGGTGACAGTGTGAAGGAGAAGCAGAGACAAACATAGGCCTGGATGGTAGAGGAAGTTACTCACGCAGGATCCTGTGACAGTTCGATGGTGAAAATATTTTCAGATTCGTCTTTGGGTAGCTGCAGATTTCTCAATTACCAGCAAATCCGAGTGATATTTAAAACCAAAGAGATCAGCTAAGTGTAATTATTCTGAGGTTAGCAACTTTTATGGTTGACTGTGTTTTTTTTTTTAGCAGCCATGATGTTGAAATAGGAACCCTTGAAGTCCGAACAGGGCTAAAACAAGGAAAGGACTGTCAGATTCTGGAGGTGTGGTTTCTGTTTTTAGTATGAGTACTGTTGACTAATCATGTATCATCATGCTAAAGTTTATGCAGTGACCCAATCTGTGCTGATGACATTCCATTGGCAGTTATCTGACGATGACATGTATAGCAGCTCAAAATCTGTCTGATCAAAGTCTTCAACTTGAATGAACAACTTGCTTGACGCTGTACAGTGAAAGCCAATCAGCGTTAAGGTTTCCTGACTTCCTGAACAAACAAGCTTTTTCTTTAAACTGTTTTCTTCTCTTGAGGACAGACCTGACAGAAATATAATTTTTACATTTTTTATGAATTTGGATCATGATGTTATTATTTTGTCAGACTTGTGACCCATTAACTGGAAGAACATTTGGTTTCTTCTCAGTCAAGAACATTTGGTTTTCTTCTCAGTCAGGAATTCCAATGTACCAGTCATGTCCTGTACCTGTGCAAATAGGAAATAAACATATTCTATTCTATTCTATTCTATATACCACTTAAGTAAAGCCCAAGTGTGACTTAAAAAACTGAGACTCACTAGAAACAGATGAACTGTAGTCATTGGCAATCAACTCTTTTTGGTAATGTTGGTATGAGGACATGTTCTTTACAGCACAACCAAACTGTCCATTTTCATTGAGAGAGTGAATGCATGTGTGTGTTGAGTCAGTCATTATATCAGAACTATGAATCTGAACACTTTTGTTTTGTTTCACCAAATGTCTGTTGCAGAGAACATAACGAAAAAGAAAACCGATAAATTCACTGACCTGTTTGTGAATTTTGGAGGGACACTCAGGTTCAGAACCTGATTCTGTTACAAAAAGATAAATGTACTCACCTTGCCCTGAGCAGATATGTTTTTGTTATGTGTGTGTGAGTGTGTGTGTGAGAGAGAGAGAAACAGGGAGAGAACAAAGCAAAAGTGCACAAAAAAGGAACGAGGACGAGGGCAGTTGAGATGGCATTGATGCATGATTGTCCAGCGAGGAAACAAGTTCAGAGGAAGTTGTCTGACCCTCTCTCTTCTCACAATGAGCAGCTCAAACACGGACATACCTGTTCTTTATTGCTATGTTTTCCTGCTGTTCCCACACTTGCTTTCATGAAGCCATTATTCATTACTTTAATAAATTAGAGAGAGATCAGTGAAACAGTCTCAAATGTTGTGTCTGTTGGAGGATTGTCAGTGCTGTGTTAACAGGAACTTCTTTGCTTTGGCTGCACTGAAATATTTTCAGTTATGATATTTGTCTAGTTTGCTCTCCAAAGGATGCATTTGCCTCCCTGTTGGCAACCAGCACACACACACACCCTCCTCTACCATTACATCTGGCACTTTGTACATCTTCTTTGAAAGATATGGCTTTTTAAATACCAGCACCAGCTCCGTCTACCTGTAGCTGCACTCTCTGCTTTGAAGTTACATTATTTTTGTATAATATTTCACGGCTGACTGAGCATGCACAAACCCGGAGTCCTGGCCCCCTGCAGGCTCCAGGCTCAGGTGTCGATTTATTTCCTGCAGAGGTTTTTCAATCTGAATATACGCCCATGCATGGAAAATCATAACTGACAAGGGCCCCGGGCCCTGAGACAAGTGGGGGTCTCCAATTCCAGAAAACACAGAGGGTCATGAGAAAACTAGCTGTTAGCATGAAATGCTTCAAGCTGCCACATTATTGTATCAGTGCTCCTGGAGAGTAACTGCTTGCTATAAGCGCTGCAACACTCCAAGCTAGTTTTCTTGTGACTGCAGTTTGAACAAATTAAGAGGCTCAGTTGACATGGCTTGGTTCATGCACCGCTTGGCCCAGTTGGAACACATAGGTCAGGTTTATTCATTAGTCACCTCAGTTTTGTTGCATCATCTGCCAGCCTTCACTCTGCTAAAGGACATTTATTTACCAACTCATGGTGGTAGTCTGGGTAGTCTGAACCGCGGCTGAAGACGATGAGAGAGGACAGAGAAACGTTTTCAATGCTCCTTCAGAATAAGTGAACTTGACACTCAGTGAGACTTTCTGCAGTTTGGATCGACAGATCAAACAGACTGGAATAGACCAAAGACTGTTAGGCAGGTGTATAGATTGATAGATGGCTTAGCAGTTTGTGGCTCTGCTTTTGCTTTATTCTGAGCCTTCTTACCAAAAGTGAAGACACAATTATGAAGCAGAAAATATGGTGACTGCTCTTAACATATAAAACCGGATTCTTTGAGTAGATGAAGTCTTGTTTTGTTTTCTTTTTACTTGGTGTGTTGGGAAGGTTGTGACATAAATCCAGCCCATAGGCAGTGTGTGTATGTGAGTGTACATGGTTTTGAGGTGTCACTGCTGAACTTTGTGTTTTTGGAGCTGAAGTGAAAACTTTGGACAGTGATTCTCTGCCTGTGATGCTGATGGAAGAAAATGAACGCTCCAAAACTCAAATAGGAAAAAAAAAACTGGAGACCCAACACCTTTGATTTCCAACAGAGCAATGCTGAAATGACTGTAGTCATTTCCACTCAGCTGTAGAGTGCAGTGGTTTGAAAACATGCAAATAAGTTTTGATGCACCTGTGCACTAATGTCTTACTAATGTGCACTAATGCAGAACATGACTGTCATTTGTCAGAAAGGTTTGACTGACGGTGCTTCGTTGCATCTTAAAAGATTGTGAATGATCTACTGTTGTTTAATATGAAATAACTCAAATAGCTTGCAATATATTTGTTTGACTTGAACCATTTTCATGAAAAGACCAAAAAAAGAACAATCAATTGATCGTGCTTACAAGTTGTCTTTGTGTTGTCAAAGCCTGATGAAACATATTTCTCTGTGCCACAATTATATATATATATATATATATTAAAAAAATCCCCCATCCCCTATCCTATTTACTGAGGATAGTCTTTGTTTTTTTAAAGTTTGCAACATAGGGCTGGTTATTGGCAAGGACCTCACAATAGGATACGTAACATGAAGCATGGGTAATGACACCAGACGTATTGCACGATACTTTGCAATACTCTTATTAAGAGAATACAGCTTCCTGGGTTATTGAGTCAAAACCATTTATGTCAAAATTGTATTTAAATGTGTTATAACAGGAGAATTTCATCTTCAATACTTTACTTAATTAGTTACTAATACAAATCATGTATTAATTCCTGATTCAATACCATGGCAGCAAAAAATAAACCTTGTGCACCCAAAATGTAGAACTTTCTTGTTGTTTATTCCCAGCCTGCAGACAATGCTGGTAGAGAAAGAGCCACTGAATATACACACTCAGTTATTTTAAATATTGTTTACACTAACAAAAGTCTTGATGAGGAGGATTTCAAAATAGGAGACCTAGCCTATTGTAACATATTCTATTTCAATTATTACTCATGATCCAGTAGTGTGGGGTCTGCACAGCTCCTGGCCTCAGTTCTTTCCTCATGTTGCTGTGTTTGGAACACTTCTGTGTCAGTCATTGTGCAGAACTCTAGAGCTCACAACAAACACTCTGCAGGTCGGGACTAAATAAAAACGAATCACTGTCTCTCTCCTGTGTACTCTGTTGGTCTCGAGCACACACTGACGTAACTTGTGCATCTTAATGAGACGCCAAAAGGATTTCACAAAACGTCTGTATTTGCCGACCTGTTCATTTGTACTGTCGAGAGTACTGTAGAACGAACAAACAAAATCTAGCTTCGTCTCTCAGGTTTGTGTGGAGCTGTAGGCATGTTCATTCGTGTGTTGTTGAGTAACTGCTGTACAACGATAAAATAATGTCTTACGACTTTGTTTCAAGGGGCCACTTGCTTAATAGCGACATCTACAGGAGGTCTTTATGATTACATAAATTTACGGGAAACAAAAGGACTTCCTTATCCGTTTAATGGATTAATGGATCAATATGAGGAGTGGAGCTATATCTTAATCATGGAAAAAAAATATTGCATTACTTTGATGTATTGACTTTTTTTGCTTAGCCCTATATTGCAGCGTTGTATTTAAATAACAATAGCATCAAGATAATTGTACTTGTAAGACTTTGGATTTTACCGAGTCTATTTTCAGCCTAACTGAGAATACTTTTTTTTTGTGACCTGAATCCATAATCTGTTAGGAAGGAGGAAACTTTAAACTGACAACCTGCCAAAAGTGAACCAGGCTAATTGCTGGAATTAAGTCCTGTTTGTATTCCTGTGTGCTCTCTGAGTCATTCTGTATTTTCTCTTCTGTTTACCTCCACAGCCCATCATTTATGAAGGCCAAGACAAGAACCCTGAGATGTGCAGAGTGCTACTCACACACGAGATCATGTGCAGGTAAAGAATCAGTGCATCAAATCTAGTTCTTCCTACTGCCCTACTTTATTCGTCTCACCGTCTACAAACAATCACTCCAGCTTCTCCTTTACTCTCCTCTACTCTCCTTTTCTTCTTTTTTTGTCTGCAGCTTACTTGCAAAAAGTTCTCACCCATCACCTCTCTGTACTCAATACAATTCTTATTTTGTCACTCTCATTAACCTCCCCACACACATACACACCCAGATGCACGCACATGTATCCATATCTGTTGAGGAAGATGAGTTTCTTAGCTTTCAGAGTCGTTGCTTTAATTATAATCTAAAGATGAATTTCTTACTGGAAGTAGGTTGGATGAAAGCGCTCTATTTATAGAGGCATTTTACCAACCTATCCTATACAATGGAAAACACAGTGTGTGTGGATGCATCCTCAGTATGTTAGCTTGTGTGTGTGAGACGCCTGGTTAATTAGGACACAGAGAAACTCATTAGTCAATCTGAACCCTCCTGTTGTTTCATAGCTAACAAATGGGCCTTTCTGCACAATCTGACTATAAAATATAGGCAGGGTCTCTTTCACACACACAAACCACACACACACACAAACACATTAGACACAAAGGAGTATGCATATGCACGCTCCCTCGTGCACTCCACAGTTATAAAAATTCAAATTTAGCACATGAATTAAGTTGTTCTTATTCCCTGACCTTGTCACTGAACAACTTTAAGTGTTACAATATAAATTGGGGTTCATCTATATGCACAAGCAGGGACTTTAGCAGTGAAACCAGGAACACTAATATTTTATTCTATACATGCTGCTGAATAATATTCCTCCTGCTGAAGGGGTTTCCAGAGAACACATTGAAATTCTGATAAGATTTACAGGGAATTTCTAAATGAATAGTATTTGGCAAACTAAATATATGGTAAGATATTGCTGTTTATCATGCAGGACGTGGACAATAATAAACAGTTTGTATTAAATGTACCGAATTACCTGAACTGCTGGTAAAGTCTCCAGTGTTTCAACATTTCCAGACAGTACGACATTGAAAACATTGCTCGTCTGGAGCAGCAGCTGAGGTCAGAGTTACGGCCGTTTCCTCGTGTTCTCACATGCTGATTCTGCAGTGGGGGTCTCACACACACAACACACATACATGTAACACACGCACAAAGAGCGCAGGGCGTCCATTAATCAGTGTGGCTCATTGTCACAGTGCTGCTATTAGCCATATGCTCGCAGCCAATCTGCCAGAGCACAGACCTGCGACGCAAACCTGTTTGGATCCCTGCCACCAAGACATGAGAAGTTTTGCTGGTGCTTGGACAAAAGTGACCAATGTCATGTTTAGAAATCTTATATTTAACCCCACTGGTGGGTTAAATTTATGTAACGGAAGTTCTGGTTCTCCAACAGTTGTCCACTTTTCTCTGCACATTTGAGGCGGGACAAAAGATTGTCCTGAACACATTATCCTAACTTGTGTGATACAATTATTAAATCGCTGATGCAAATTCTCAATATTATTAATATAATTTTAAAAATCTTTCTAAACAGATCTCCCTGCCGATGTGACTAACTGTGTCACTACTTGAGGGCTCTTCACAGCGACACTTTGTTACAGAAGTTACATTTTCACAGTTAGAACAAGTGAAAATGCTCTGTTCAGTTCATGCTGTTGTGACTCTATTGTTTCCAAGTGGGTGTGCAGGCTGTGTATAGTGTGTGTATTGGAGGAGGAGGGGTGTGTGAGCACATGATTAGATCACCAGGATCCATAGCAATAAGTGCTACATTACCCCATCCTGCCCCTTCCCTTTTCCCTCCCCCCTTCTCCCCCTCCATTTATAACATCCTCCACTCTGCTCTCCTTCCCCTCTTCCCGCACTGTCCTCCCCTTAATCTCTGCTCCTCATCTGCTAACCCCCCTCCTCACCCCTTATCTCCCGTCCACCTCTCAGACCTATCATTGGTGCTGCGATGGTCCCACAAAGTGACCCAGTTCATAGAGCTGCAGACAGGATGTGACAGAGAGTAGAGAGCGAGGAGTTAGATAGTAGAGACAATGTGTGAGGTGTAACGTATCAGCTTCTTTCTGTCCACCTCTGCCATCTGTGACGCTGAGAAACCTGAGACTTCTCCCCTTCCTCTTCTTCCCACCCAAACCCTACCTCCCCCCCCTTTCTCCCCCTCTTGTTTTAGCTTTCCCTCCCACGCTCACCCTTTCACTCTTCTCCTGCTTACACCTTTATTCATAATTGATGAACGCAGGAAAGCTTTGACAGTTTCATTCTACAGATGTGTGAATTGTGGTGCACATGCCAGCTTTTTTTTTTCCTTTCTTGTGTGAGTGTGTGTTTGTGTGTGTCCCACCCACTCCTCCTCTGTGCCTCAGGCCTCTTCAATCCTCCTCCACCCTGCGCCTCACCTGTTCATCAGTACAATTAGGATTGACTGGAAGTTTTCTCATAGTCTTCCAAACGTGATGCATGGCAAGTCTGCACTCAAAATAATCAATATGAGCCTGTAGAGGTTCAGATCCATAGGACGTGTTGCTGCGGATTTCAAACAATAACAGTTTCAGGGATATTGTCTGTCTCCTGTGTTATTGCAGGATGTTGTGTTTAACTTTTCTAGCCCCCTGCTTTTGTCTCTTTATAATGAATTACCCTTTTTTTCTATTTTGCTCCCAGTGTCTAATAATCATGAATTTGGAAAAGTGCTGTACCTCCAATATATCTTGAATGACATGATAACATAATGAATCTTTGTGATAAATGAACTAGTTTCACTATAAATCAATTCTTCCTCCTACTCCAAACAAGTGTACACATGAAGTGACACTCTTCTGCCATCGTGGATTTATTTTCTTTCCCTGGAAACCTTATTTTTTAGAGTTATGATGAAGAACTGATTTTATATGATGACTGCAAACAGAAAAATTGTGATGAGAGAAAAACTTTGGTTAACTCGGCGTTAGCACAAAATATAAGAGTTGTGACAAAATGATCCATCCCTGCAGAATGACATCAGTGAAACAATTATGTGCACAGTATAGAAGTGTTCAAAATAGGAGGGATTTCACAGTTCATTTTTTAGAAAGAAAGGCCTTTTTTATGTGAAGTAAATCACAGTGGAACTCATTATTGGCAGACATACAACTTCAGGTATCGGAACTGGTATGAGGAAGGACAACATCAGCAAATCTCTATACTTTTTCGGGCACCTGCAGGGGACGGTTTGCATTCGAGGTGCACTTTATGCTGGGAAAAGGGAAAGTGGAAAAGGCTGTTAATGTGTATGTGTTCATAACTTGCCCAGGAAATTGTGTTTGGTTTGCAGCAACAAGCAGCGCAGTGCAACAGGAGTGTACAGTGCTGAAGTGCAAATTATTAACAAAAAACCTTTTTGAGTGAGATATGAAAAATCATTCAAATGAGAGGTCAGGACTTTGGTGACAAATCTGTTTTAATAACTCACATGTACTAAAATGGTTAAGCTCCTCAAATGGCTTGTCCCACTAAAAGTGTTCTTTCTTACACTTCCTGCTTCACACTCACTTTCCATGTCATGCCATGAACATCTCTTTTTATCTGTGCTGTCAGTGTAGACCTGGATGGTGCTGCAGAGTTTCCTTTTCGGTCTGTTTTAAACAGATTTGATCAGTTTTCTGTGCATTTGGTGTTAGGTTGAAAACATTGGAGACATACAGTATTATGCTGAAACACTCCCATTGTAACACACCGTTGTACTATACTGTAAGTCTGAGTGGTTTTTTTTGTACTCCTTTTCCTGCAGTCGATGCTGTGACAAGAAGAGCTGCGGAAACCGTAATGAGACACCTTCAGACCCCGTTATCATCGACAGGTACTGCCTCTCACTCTCTCTGTCGTTCTCTCTCTTTTAAACACACACACACACACACACACACACACACACACACACACACACACACACACACACACACTGAAGGAGTTGACCTGTTTGAATGGCTGCGTATGACAGGATGTTTGTGTGTTTTGATGATCAGCTGTCGCTCCTGAAATAGAAGCCCCTCAGATAGAAGTGATGGCTTTTGATGGAAGACAGAGTGAGACTGAATATTTGAGTGAAACAGCAGGACTCATTGGTGCTACTGAACCGGTAAAGTACAGGACTGATTGATTCAATCTAGCTACTCAATCATTGGCCTATGCTGGGGTTGCATAAAGGCACATCAGCTTCTGCACCTGCAAAACTGTAAGATTCAGACACGTGTGCAGGTTAGATCGTCTACAGATTTCAGTGAACAGACGCTGCTCAGATGAGTGTATGTGTCCGCTATGTATCACAAACTACAGAGCTGTTTACTAGCAGAAGCTGTCTGTCGTTTCTGCTCTTGCTTTTTTCCTACCTGCATGTCTGTCTCTCTGGTTCTTTCTTCCATCTCTCTGTCTGCCTGTCTCTCTGTAGATGAGGAGGACTGAAGTTATCCCTCCCTTACCTCCTCCTCCTCCTCCTCCTCCTCCTCTTTTCTCCCTTTCTGTATCCCTGCAGCAGCGGCAGCACAGAAAAATGGGTCATGAGCAAAGAAAAAAGTGACAAACTGAAATGAGATCCATCCTCATTTCAATCTGATTTCTCCTTGGCAATTGTTTTAACCCTTTGTTGCAGGCTTTCCTGTGTGAAAGTCTGTGTGAGTGTTTGGAAGAGAAACTCTCAGGGACTCCATTGAAGGAGTGAAGGAGCGCTGATTCTTATCACTCTCGCTGTCACCACATAATGAGAGAGCCCAGTAATCATTCTTTAGTTGTTACCAGAGGAAGGTTAAAAAAAAGACACCTTAACTCCCAGTCCAAAAGTATCAAATAACGTACATTTTGATGGAAATGGACATAGCTTTATTTGGACTTTTATCAGACATGCCTTGACTTATAAGGTTTTACTATCAGAGCAAGGTTGGGGTGATTGTGATTTTTCTTTTCATAACTTCAGTGATAACACAGTTTGGGGTGGAAGTTATTGCAGCTTTTTACTTACCAAATGTAAAAAAACATGAATTAATTTTTTAGGATAGGATAGTGCAATAAGATACAGTATTCTGTTGTATACAGTGTATTGTATAGAATAGCGTGTAAGATAATAATTATATAATATAATAATCCAATAATCCAATATAATATAGTTATAGAGTAAGTATGGCATGTTGGAGTTCTTTTATTATCGTATTTATATAAAAATATGGGTCAATTTCAGCATAGAAAAATGTCAAATGGACTTTGGCTTGTATATCGCTTTTCTATTCTTCTGTCCACTCCAAGCACTTTTACACTCCTAAGTGACCACCTTGTCAAGTTGTTGCTCGTGGGAGCAATTTGGGGCTCAGCGACTTGTCCATGGACACTTTCAAACCCCCAACCTTCCTGTTGAAATACTTTTGACTTTGCCACTGAGCAACAGCTGACCAGTTGTTGTCTGTTGTATAATTGAAGTTAAACACAACAAAAGAAAAACAGATAAAGTTCTTAAAAAATATTTTGAGAAGAGGTACCAGGTTTGAACTCCACATCAATGATATTTTAAGTCGTATGTGTGTGTGTGTGTGTGTGTGTGTGTGTGTGTGTGTGTGTGTGTGTGTGTGTGTGTGTGTAGGTGTGTGTGTGTGTGCTCAGGACATTATAGCATCTTTACACCACAGGAACATTCTTCTGTTTTTGTCGGCTAGCTCAGCTTACACCCGTTATTCATTTCCCTGGAAGGTGTGCGTGTATCTGCGCATGTTTAAATGTGTGAGTGGATGGGTAGTTTTGACTTGTGTTGGGTCACTGGGAGAATTAGTGCTGTCTGTAAGATGTAAACAAAATCGAAGAGATAAGTGTGTAACCAGACTGTTTGGAGCATTCGTGCTTGGGGACTATAAGTGTGTATGTTTGTTTTTTTATGGCTCAAGGAAAAGAGTAGAGTGAATTGTGGGAGATGTCAGCGAACTTGGTCAGGATGGAATGTCAAGGTTACCGTGGATACCGTGGGATACTTCCTGTAGCCCCCTCCTCTCAGAGTAACATCTGGAGCTCTGCAGTCAGGCCCAACATGTAGAGAGAAAGAGAAAAAATAAGAGCTTTAATCGTGCATGTCTCTGCTTCTAGACAGACAACATTTTTTGAAGTCCAACTCAAATCACATATGTAGTCATCATTCTTTCATTCAAATGTTGAGGTTTTCGAAATTATGATTTACATTAATATGAATGGCTGTAGAGGAGGCATTAGCACCTAGCTAACATTGTGAACCTAGCTCAGAGCACTGAGGTGCTGAAGCCAAGCATAAGTTTCTACAGGGATTATGATGCCCTCTGTTCCTATGACTCAGTTTGTTAGATTGATAGTAAGATCAATTTGATACAAAACTCAGTTTGACAGACAAAGATTATAACTTTTGCTGTTTTGCTGAGTCTCGTGTGTACAATGACACAGAAAAGGGGAACAGTGATTTGACTGGAAAAACATGAGTCAACTTTTCCGTTTTTTTTATTTGAGGGCAGCCATGTAGCCTTCTATAAAGGATTATATTCCCAAAGTGGTATTTATTTATTCATAAAGTGGTAGTCATTTATCTTAGCTCACAGAAAACTAGTGCTAATTCAGTGTGTTCGCAATAGTAGCAAATAACAGCAGGAAGAAGTCAGTTTGACTGAAGTCAGTGAGGTATCAAGCTCTTGTAACTACAGTTTTGTCTCCCATTGTATGTTTGAAGCACCTGCACCGAAGAGCTTTGAATCAATGACACAAGCTGTGGCTCAGTTCAAAGACTGCATCCTCTGAAGGTCACAGCTTTGTACACCACGAACGTCAAACTAAGCGTTGTTAAATAAGACGGTCTGGTCTATGGTAGGATTTCCTCTTTTTCGTCACCAACCAGGACAGCTGCAGAAAAAAATGACACAACACAATAATCATGGGAACAATTTCACTTCGAAGAATCAAGCTGTTAAAGACTTAAAATTTGTTGTGTAATGTGACTGTATAGTCAAATTATGCAGCCAATAGGAATGCAGGAAAATGCCCTTTCATCAATGCACTCCTGAACCTTTACACAATACTTCAGGACAGTGTACCCCTTCACATTTTCAAAAGTTACCATTTTACACATGACCCCCACAGTGGAAGATTCTACCTGTCAGACGGGAGGTAGGGGGCTTTCAGGAGGCAAGACGGGACGTGAAAATGATGCTGCAGAAGTCACAGTGTAGTAGTCTCATATTAACAACTAACCTGAGATTTATAGATAAAGTAACATACTGTAGTCCCAAAGTGTGAAAAGGGGTATTCATCACAACATGCAGACATTCGGGATTCAGCACCTTTGTCCCAACACAATATGCAACTTCATGCACGTTACCTACTCTTATTGATGTTTGTCATTAGAAGTTGAAACGGAGGGAATACAAACAGTGGAGTGAGAATAACCACAGTGCAGAGTAAACTGAACCAATACAAATCTTGTTACAGAGTTCTCTTTAAGGGATGCTGCTCTTTCCATTAGCATGTACTTTCCTCCTGTAAAAACATCAAATTAAGAAAAAAAACAAGTTGACCCTAAAATGCCATACATTGCAATGCTATCCAAAAAGTGATGCTCCCAGTGTTTATGGTGCTTTAACAACCTCAAACACATTTCAGGCTTCTGCAGTTATGGTTGCATTTAAACAGAGAAAAGTGTTTGTGTGTGATTGACAGCTCATTCCATTGTGTCAGTGAGGGATATCAGTCCTTGTGTGCACTTGTATGTGTATGTCTGTGACTGACACCCAGCTGCCTGTGTGTGTGCGTGTGTATGTGTGTGAGTGTGTGTGTGTGTGTGTGTGTGTATCAATGTGTGAGTGTGTGTGGCCCAGTTAATCCGTGTTGTAGCACAGTGAGTGTCCCGCCGCCTCCCAGGGTTAATATAGGGTTAACGACATGCAACGATATCCTATCATACGCCTGCTTGACTCCTAAAGAGCCACATCCACTCTACTCCTCAATCGTGTGTGTCTCTCTGTGTGTGTGTGTGTGTGTGTGTGTGTGTGTGTGTGTGTGTGTTTGCGCCTTTTAGTTTAGCCTCTTTGTATCTCCTACTGTCTTTTTTTCCCTGAATCACTCAACATCTTTAGCTCTTTTTATTTTATTCCTCCTACATTTCAACTTTCCCCATCCTTCATCTCTCTCTTTCCCCCTCGTTCTCCCCCTTTGGCTCTCTCCTACTCCCTGCCTCTTATTCCCTCCCATTTTCTCTTCTTTCCTCCCTTTTTTCGTATTTTACTTTGTTTTGCTCTCCGTGGCCCTGAGGGGTAACCTACCTCACTGCTCAGTTCGCTGCCTATTTAGACTTGAACGATTGGCTTAATAGGCTCAGTGTGTGTGTGACTGTGTGTGTAGAGTCTCCGGTAGTGTGTGCACAAGGCTTAGATCGGTGTCATGACTTGGGGAAGGTGGTTTCAAAGTGTCTGATTATTGTGTGTTTGTGTGTGTATTTGTGTGTGTATTTGTGTGTGTGGGGGGTTATGGGTACCAGTGGTTGCCCTCTCGAAGTCTAAAGGGGCCCACATAAGCCTGAGGGGTTTAAGGGGTTCCCCTAGTGTGAGTGTGTGCGTGTGCGTGTGCGTGTGCGTGTGTGTGTGTGTGTGTGTGTGTGTGTGTGTGTGTGTGTGTGTGTGTGTGTGTGTGTGTGTGTGTGTGTGTGTGTGTCTGTGTGTAGGTATAGGGTTAAGAGGGTCATGGCTTGAGGAAGAGAAGATGGGAGAGAGAGGAATGAGGAAGGAATGGAAATAAATGAATTAGAGGAAAAAAAGGAGGTAAGGAGAGTAGGGTGAGCAAAGGGAGAGAGGGAGGGAGAATGGGTAGGGAGTC